TTGCTTAAAGATGTAGATTTTTTTCTTCTACTGTTGCAAGATCTGTGTAATACATTCCGCGTTTGTCATGGACTTAAGGAATGTTTCGTGTTTTGATGGTGTGTCTTTAGTAATAATCAGCATGCTCACAACTGCTTATTATCGTGGCTCATCATAAAGAATTTGTTTAAGTTGGGTTTGCAAAAACCTGGCCGTAAATGTCGGATGCAACAGTGAAAATAAAGTGCATTCATCAAATGCATCCTAGTCATGCTGATGAGCTCTGATATTGAGCGAAACGGCTTCAGTTCCTTATCTTAAGCTATTTTCTTGAAAAACTCCTTTTCAGGGGGGTTGCATGCCCCCTGATGCCCCTAGGCAGCGAACGCCTCCGGCCATTTTGATTGACAAGAAAAAATCCTGGATCCGCCCTGGTTGAGTAACAAATAAAGGGATATTTATTTACTTTACGCTATAAACCTGAAAAAATAGGTTTTTTAAACGAATTTCAAAGCGATAGCTATTTAAATTCTTGAAAAGAGGAAAGCAAAGAAGAAATAATATCATAACACGACCCTGGGTTGATTCAACCGTTGGCTTTTGAGCCAATTGAAGATACAGATTCTGAGGAAGATGTCATGGCCGTCAATAGTGCATCATCGCACTCACGTTTTAAAAGTACCACTAGCAGACTTGAAGAAAAACACTGGCACTTTTTGAAGCTCTTTCTAATGAGTCATTATTTTATTTGTTATTTGTATAATTTGACCAAGTACTTTTGAAAGCATCATATCAAATTGTATAATGTGGCTTAAACATTAAGAATCGCTTTTCACCCAAATTTGATAATATAATACTTAGATGTCTCAGTAGCAATTGCTAAACCATGGATAGATAAGAATTCATATGCTGTAAAAAAATTATATAATGTGTTAAAATGCGATAAGAAGTTGATGAAGGATTGTGACAGCGTCAAGTGCATATTTCCTGTTGTTGTGGTGAAGATAAATGGGACACTGGCCCCGGGAACTCTTTGCCTCAGCTCAATTAATCAATCATCTTAACATCAAACAATGTGACATTACAAATCAAAAGATCGATATGCTTCTCACATCACGCAACGCAAAAGTAGAGTTTTATGACGTAGTAATTAATTTCAACCATGACGGAATGTACGAGGTGGTCATGGGACTGAGCAAAGTTGACAAAATTGTGCTGCTGTTCGTTTTATCCCTGGGTACGAAAGGCTGATAAAGCGTTATCAACATCTTGATTCAGTGGTTATGGACGAGAAAGATACAAAACTTCAACTGCCAATTCACGTCGTCCTCGGAAACGGTGAATATGCACGAAGTAAAAGTGCAACCAAACCCCTCATCGACAAGGAAGGTGAATCGGTTGCAGCAAAGACAAAATTGAGATGGATGATTCTCAGTCCTGGAATTGAGCTAGAAAAAACGAACATGCTCCTGTCCCAAACATCACAAATTGACTTTGATAAATTATGTGTCTTGACGTCCTAGTGCTAAACGATCAACAACAGTTTTATGAAGATTTTTAAGAACAACTTCACCGAAGCCAAGAAGGATCGTACGAAACAAGTTTACCCTGGAAATCAAATCACCACCTCTACCAACAAACGCAATGGGGAGTTGTTGTCGTTTGGAAAAATTGATGAAAGGGCTAAAAGGAAGCGATTCGTATTAAGACTCTGATGACGTCACTCTACAACAGTATGAGAACAGGGCGATTGAAAAAGCACCAAAAAAGGTGATTGGAAGGAGTTCTATATACTGCACAAAGCAGTGGTGAATAACGCAGCTGAGACAACTAAGCTGCGAATTGTGTACGATGCTTCGTCCAGCAAATAACGAATTTCACCTTCTCTGAATGACTGCCTCAATCCGAGCCCCTGCCTGCAAAATCTTTTCTGGTCCATTCTCGTTAGATCACGATTCTCTCCCGTTCTACCCACTGGTTACCTGGAAAAGGCGTTTCTCCAAGTGAGGATTAGACAGACCGAGCGAAATGCACTTAGATTTCACTAGAAAGCACTTGGAAGCAACGACGTGTCCACGTATCTGCTCACGAGGGCGCTGTTTGGTCTGAAATGTTCTTCTTTTATACTCAATGGTGATTTAATGGAACATGTAAAGTCTTGGGAAGGAAAAACCCAAACCTTGCGGAAAACATATGTTAAAATCAGTACATTCACGATGTAATGATAGGTGGAATGACTGTTTCAGAAATTAATGGAAAGAGGAGTCAATCTATAGAGATCTTTGAAGACGCTACTTTCAAGCTGCACAAATGGCATTCGAATGACACCGTGCTAGAAACTCTAACAAAAGCTGAAGACGAAGACATGATGTCAACGAAACCGGACCAACAAAATGGGAAGTCACTCGCTAAACTATTGGGACTTCAAAGGAACAAAGATAAAGACACTCTAAGAGAGCAAATGATAATCGAAGAAACCGTCTGGTCGCGAAGACTTGCATTATCACAGCTTGCAAAAATATACAACCCTCTTGATTGGGTATCACCAAGGACAATGATGGGCAATACCATTTTTTGAGAAATGTGAATGGTGAATTGGCCAATGTCATAAGGAAACGCTGGGATGATTGGTGTTTGGGACTTCCATCTAGTTACGAATTTAACTGACTTTTAGCTCCGCATACACAAACTGTGTTTGCTGTCACTCTTCACGCCTTTGGTAATACGAGCAAAGTCGGGATGTCAGCAGCAGCATTTGCAGGTGATGAGAAGGATGGAGTAACGCAAGCTATGGTATGTGCAAAGTCCATGTTGGCAAAACGGAATCTGTCGATATCTCGCTTGGAATTGGTTGATGGACACATGGCCGTTAACTTGCTACCAAATGTAAAGTGTGCGATAGGTGAGGAGTTTTAACATCTGTCCGTTGCTGGTTGGATTCTACATTAGCACTTTACTAAATCAACCGTTGTGGAGAGTATCGCCAATTTGTTGCAAACAGTGTTGCGAAAAGTCACGCTCGTGTGAAATGGCATTATGTACACACTGAACAGAATCCGGAAGACATCCGGAAGAAACGAACAACGAGAAACGGTCCCGAATGGCTGAATTATCCTTTAAAGTGGCCACCACAACGAGTAAAGTAACGTACAATTGAAGCTGAGGAGGAGATTAAGCCTAAGAAAAGTGTACACGTATTGCCTACATCAGCTTCAACCGAGAGCGACAACAGTTTCACACATTTATTAAAAAAATTTAACCTCTAAAAGGTCATGACAATATGTATGTGAATACTCATGTTCAAAGAAAAATGTAGCGGTTCTACGGAAGGCAAAAGAAGGGTCCTTTAGCGACAAGTGAAGTCAAGAAAAGTGAAGTTAGGTGGATCAAGAAACACAAAACGGTGCAAAAGAAAATCCTGAGTTTAAAGGAAATTGTTTGGAGCTTCGTTCGACTTCATGGACGTGTGGTCCTTGTATGTCGTGGTCAGACCAAGGGAGATTATCCAGTGTTTCTACAACGCAATGCTATGTTCACTGAAAGGAAGTCGAACTCGCACATCTCAGCACACTTCATTACGGTATGGCTATGACTGTGGCTAAGCTGCAAGAGCGATTTTGGGCACCAAGGCTGCGAAGACTAGTAAAGCAAGTACTGCCCAATTGCTAAGGTTGTGTAAGATTCAGAGTCAAATCGTATGTAAAACTACCACCAGGAAACCTTCCAATGACGAAAACTTAAGGCACAACTCCGTGTCAAGTCGTTGGGGTAGACTTTGCAGGTCCAATCCGTTATCGGACAAAGGCAAAGGTGGAGAAGAAAGCGTACCCAGTACTTTGCGGATGCAGATTAACGTGAGCTGTATATATCGAACTCTTAGGATCTATAAAACTGACCGAATTCATTCCCAACCTGAGAAGGTTTATTGCAAGACGGGGTTGACCTAATATCATCTATTCTGATAACGCAAAGACGTTCAAGGCTGCAGACAGTTGGTTGATGGAGGTAAGAAGAGACGAGAAATTTAATGCATTTCAGGCGGACAAAGAGATTGAGTGGAGGCTTAATCTCAGTCGTACTCCATATTGAGGAGGATAGTTGGAACATATCGACGTTGAAATTTAAAGAATTGGAAGAAATTGTCCTAGACGTGGAAGTTTCTCTCAAAGATCACCTTCACACGTACTTTGAGGATGACATCCAACTTCCTATCTTACTCTGTCTCTTCATTTTTAGATGCTAATCCCACTGGGTTGCCTGAAAACGACACTCTATACTTAGAAGATGTTGATGACGTGTGGAAAAGAGCGCAATTCCTTTAAAAGTGCAAGGAAACCATGTAGAAACGTTGGTCAAAGGAATACGTATGAGGTCTACGTGAACGTCTTGAACAACAAATCGGTAAGCAGACATCTTATCTCAATGTTGGTGACGGTGCTATCATTCAGGATGAAGCAAAAAGAAAGAAACGCTTGGAAACTTGAAGTACTGGAAGGAGTCGTAAAAGGAAGAGACGTTGTAATACGAGGAGCAGAAATTCGTACGACTGACGGAAACTTTGAACGTGCTATTCAACAAATTTACCCACTGTAGTTGTCTTGCGACGAGAAGAAGTGGAAACCAAACCCAAAGGCTGCAACGTTTATTCCACGACCGACAAAGGGATGCAGAGGTAGCAGCAAAGATACGACTTAAGAAAGATGCTGAGGAGGAACACTGAACGATTAGCTGAGTAGACATTCCATTAATTTTATTTTAATCTTATATTTACTTTTTTTTTGGAGAAGAACAGTTATTTTTCACTGCAAAATCAATTCCTTTTGGACATATGTTTCAATTCTGAGTTATATGGTGAGTGTGTCCGAAACTGTTTCGGACATCACTCGTCATTAGTTAGTAGCATACACGAAATAACAGTAATGACGTCAAGAGTGAAAGAAGCGAGTGTAATACACGTAAGCGTGTAATACACGTAAGCTTTCGTGGAATAATTGTAAAATCCTTAGCAACGTTTCTGTATCCTGTTCACGGGTTTATTATGTAAAATTTTTGTTATTTAAATAAATTTCTTGGTATTTCTCGAGTACATAACTTCGTCAGACGTCAGTCGTACAGAAGAAGAATAGGTGTATATTAAGGACTATAAAGTTGTGAAGGTAAGAAATGTTTGTGTTAACGTCTCTTCGCCTTACATTAGTTTGCAAATGCGGAAGTAAGTGTAAGATTTCAACAATGAAATACGTTTCAGTCCATCATTTCATTCTATCAAATTTTTGTATATTTGCGACCGCATGGTCTTGTTGATTAGGCGTATAAATTGTTCATATAAGAACCACTTTGAGAATCTTACTTTAAGATCTTTATTTTTTGTCTCCTAATGCAATTTAGTTTAAAGTGAGGATACTTCAACTTGTTATGATTTAGAAATAGTTGTAATACAGCACCACATATGACAAACAGCTCGTTCAAATAAGTAAAACTGGTAATTCAGTTATTCAGAAATTATGCTTGCTTCAAAGACTATTGTGCACAGCCACGAATTTTATAGACATATAGGACAAAAATTTTGTTTTCAAAATAACAACATCATTCGTAAGATTTCTTTGTATGAACAGTTTCCTGTTTGTGTCTTAATCTTTCTTGTTTTCTAAATTTTACCAAAGGTGCTTTTGTGTTAACTGCGTCTTCGTACAAAATAACGAAAAAGTAACTAATTTATTTGAGGTATATATTTCTTCAAAAACATAAACGTCGTTCCATGAGCAAAGTGAACATTTGTAACACAATACGACCTAACATTATTGATATAATTTATCACGACACACATTTCTTTGTCTGTTATAACCACTGATCTGATAATAGACTGGATATAGCTTCTACAGGTATCAAAAGGGAAGCCTAATTATATATGCAAAATCCACTTCCGGGTACCACGGCGAGATACAAATTACTATAAAAATGTATGGCGGATAACGTTTACAAACATGGATTTTCGAATATTTAAGACCTTTCACGACTCCTTACTAACCTCAAGTATTAGTCATGGATAAAACAGGTTATGCGAATCGATTTGACATCAAAATGATTCCTATAGCTGTAAAATATCGACGTCAGTGTTGATTTAAAAGTTGTACATGCGAGAATGTATTTTGTCCCATCGTTGCCAATGCAAGATAGTTCACTGCTCGCTTTCCAATTTCTGAGGCATTTATGATCTAGTATACGTTTCAGTTCTTTAGAAATGAGGTGAGTTACTTTTTTTTATCATTCTTTCTTTATGTTGAGATATTGTTGACATTTTATTTTTGCTGTAACTTCATTTTTTCATGAGCAAAGTACGACTGATGCTTAAACAAGACAAGTTTATTTAGTTTCTTTCGCACTTTATCTTTAGTTTCTATTTCTGTAATTGTTTTTCTCAAATGGTATACTTGTACCTTGCTGTAACATTTATATATGGTCTTAATGAGTAAATATGATTTTCATGAACAGTAGTATTCAACATGTCTGCGTCGAGACCTTGAATGTGGTCCTCAAATCTATTCCATTTAATACGGACACAGCAATACCATCAGGAATTCCTTTCCCTTGCAGTAAATTTCCATTTGTAGCTGCCAACATTTTCTGAAAGCACCTCTCTGTTTCATTGCATATTACTATAACACTTGCTGTTGGCTTAAACAAATTACCCCTGTCTTTTAAAGTCAAGAAAGCAGACTCATTTTTATGATTTCTTGAACCGACTGCTTCATGACAAACAGGATAGTTTATTTTCTTTTGCACCATCTGGGCAATATAGCCAGCCATGTACGATACTACTGCCTTTTTACATTCAGTAAATTTCATTTTCCTCTTCTAAGTGCTAAGCAAATTCCAGAAGGTCATAGTTAGTATGAATGTAATATTAATGCCTTAAATATTTTTCCAAAAAGATTAAAATTATTCTTAAGATATGAATGTAGTTAGGGATGGCTTAAATATGAATTGCAGTCGACATTAGAATCCTTTTCAGCAATAGTTTGATCATCAGTCTCGAGTCTTGTAGTAATAAGAAAGACAAGAGCTTTATTCCACTTGTGAAGTGTGACTTTAATAATCGAACAGTTGAACAATTTACAGCTGTAGACAATAAACTGTTGCTGAGAAGCAGTATTCATGGCTGTAAAGGAATTAGCACAAGACAATGTGAAACTGATATACTGCATACAATTGGATACACTTATAATTATAATCTGTGGACACAGTCTTATGTTGCTGTTAATAATTTAAATCTGCTAAGAGACAAACCAAAACCAAGATGATTATAAAGATTAAACAATGCACCCAGCTTTTGCACTCTTAAAGGGCCTGCAAATTCATACCTGGCTGGCTACATTACCTTGATGTTTCAAAAGCAGTTTACTAAAGTGTCCTAATGTGTGTAGAACGCATCTGTGGGATTCTAATGTCTATGAAAATCATACTTCTTTAAATAATTAAGCGCAAAGTGCGAGTATACCATTTGAGAAAAACAACTACAGAAATGGAAACTAAAGATAAAGTGCGAAAGAAACTAAATAGACTTGTCTTGTTTAAGCATCAGTAGTACTTTGCTCATCAAAAAATGAAGTTTCAGCAAAAATAAAATGTCAACAATCTCTCAACATAAAGAAAGAATGATAAAAAAAGTAACTCACCTCATTTCTAAAGAACTGAAACGTATACTAGATCATAAATGCCTCAGAAATTGGAAAGCGAGCAGTGAACTATCTTGCATTGGCAACGATGGGACAAAATACATTCTCGCATGTACAACTTTTAAATCAACACTGACGTCGATATTTTACAGCTATAGGAATCATTTTGATGTCAAATCGATTCGCATAACCTGTTTTATCCATGACTAATACTTGAGGTTAGTAAGGAGTCGTGAAAGGTCTTAAATATTCGAAAATCCATGTTTGTAAACGTTATCCGCCATACATTTTTATAGTAATTTGTATCTCGCCGTGGTACCCGGAAGTGGATTTTGCATATATAATTAGGCTTCCCTTTTGATACCTGTAGAAGCTATATCCAGTCTATTATCAGATCAGTGGTTATAACACGCAAAGTATAACTAGCGCGTTCGTTATTTATCATGAAAGAGACTGTATAAACCATTGATGTTTATCAAAGGTGTTAACCACACTTTATGTTTCATAGAACGATGTAATAAAACGAAACTTCAAAATATATTTGATGCTTATGTATTACTTTGCCTAATGATGCTGATGTGAAATTGACTTTCTCTGTTTTGGGCTTATGTTTCTTTGCAGTTTGCATCTTCTCAATTTTATATCCCGTTTAAAATATTTAATTGTTGCTTTAGATTGTGTCTTAATCATCAGCTAATCCAACATGAATCGTTCATTTGCAAAAATTTTGCCTGTCAAACATTTGAAAATCAACAATTCTCAGAAATATTCGACTACTGTAGTGAAGTACAAGATACTTGGAAGCTATCTTTGTCGCCAATTCATTTAGGCACATTAACTTGCAGTGCTAGGAATAAGGACGGTGTATTCACTAAACTGAAATGTAAGCAAGTAAATTTTGTATGTCTGCTGTGTTTTGTGACCTCTTAGCATTATCGAGCAAATAGATTTTACTACAGTTGTTTGTGATGCCGCATTTGATTTAGGACAATCAAACAATTTGTGATATGTACAATTTATATTGCATCCAAAATGCGACTCTCGTTCATTCGCTATATGATTTACTTTTGTGTCTATTTACGGCTTTTAATGTTTAAAATGAAATACTCCAACATGCAATAAACTGTGTCATTGAACAAAAAAGAGAAAAACGTAATTTTTGTTTTCTTTTCTATTACCTTAAAATAATTTTTTCTATTACAAATACAAATGATTTCTCGTAGTTTGGGGTTACACATTCATTATACTTTTTTATAAAAAACATTGGATTTCAAAGACAATTAAAACGGCATCCATGCAGATATAAATATTTCCCATCCCGCAATTATCGAGGTGGCTATATAAGGGAATGACTACATGAGTAGCCGGGATTCAGGAAAGCGTTAAATGATTTTGACAAATGGAAACGATTCAATACTTATCATCAGATAAATCATCTCAAGCAATTTCACAATGTTCTGATTCAATAACTACGCAAAACATTTTAAATTAAAACAAACACTTTGCCCTAATTTGAGAATTACAACCGGAATAATGTGTTGCGCTTTGCAAACAGTTGTAATCTTTAACCTTGGCCTCTAAGTATTGGCCTCTTTCATTCCCTTGAAATCATCGGGCTAGCTCGTTATCCGGGCCAGCTTGCCACCATATAATCAGGCACTAACTTGCCAAGCTAGTCGTTACATTTATTTGACTTGTGCAAAACTATTATTTGAATCGAATTTTATCGACCCTCTACATTTTTAGACGGTTTTAAAGACTCTTATCTTGTGCGCGGTTAGTATCTACTGTCTTAACTATTACATATATCTCACTTACGTTATAATTACGTTTCAGATATCCGCCAGCATGAGTGATGCAGTAAAAGATTTGGGGGCCGTTCCAAACGAAGCTTTGCGGTTTGCGTTCTCTAAAGCCGGCTTTTCACTTGCAGTTAGTTGCAAGGAAGCTGTTATTCCACCTTTGGGGAGGACTTTTGTATCTATCTACGGCATTTACAAGCTTAGTAAAATCTTTCAACCTGCTATAATGTATATACTTCAAAAAATATTCAATAAAGACTCCAGTGAAAATTCATCGAATGGTCCTAGTAATGGTAAGCAGAACCATCGATTACAAACTTCTTTAAGCTTACAAAGGTTATGAAAATTTGGCCAATGTGTTAATAAGTTCAGCAAATGTTCATGTTTCCTATAATGTAAGCTCATACGTGTACATATACATAATTGTTCCTGAAAAAATATTTCAAAGGAAAAATCAGAAAATAATCTGAGGTTTCGAAGCCCGGCGCTCTCGTACACATTGATCGAATTTGCTAAAACTTTGTTAGCTTGAATAACATGTGCTATATTTTAACTTTATTTTTTACAATTGATTTTTAATTGTGTTCACGTTGTATCAGAAGACAACTTTTGTGGTATTTGCAATGCAATAAGTCAGATGTGCTAATGGAAGTTGAACAACATATTTTAATATTTTGTCGTCATGACAAATTTCAACGTAGCCTTAAAAGCGTATTTCTATGCCCGATGTATTTTAGTCAATACAAACAACTATGTATTCGACGTATATGTTTTTTTAGAAAATGAAAGTTTTACTCTAACAAAATTATATCTATGGCACAAACAAATTTATATAACTGTGTCATATAGTCATTTTTTAAAGTCGATTTCAACCGTTTATTTCATAATCAACTGGCTTATACCGTTAATTTCAACATACACTTTCACAAGCCACGAAAAGCGGTTGTTTTTACACTGAATGTCATTATTTATGCTATAGAAGTCAGTAATGTGCGAGAAGGCTCCTTTGCGTTTGATCTTTCCTGCTTCACTGAAGACCAATTCAAGGAAGTTTGGGAAGATTATCAATCAGGAGGACTACTGCAACGATTTCAAGATGAGTTTGAAGCACATGACATTAAAGTAGAAGGCTTACAAGTTGAGATCAAAAATTTAAAGGAAGTGAAGGAAAAAATGGAGATCATATACTGTAGGTTAGACACAACTTTTCTCGTAAAAGATATTTTCTATTTCCCTCTGTCATATTCGTGCGCAACTGCGTATACAAATGGATACAATACTACATGAAGTGTAAATCAAGTTTTAACTAAATATTTTTGTTAAATGAAGATATGATCTTCGCACTTTGCTTGACAATTTAAGCAATCGTCTCAGGACCTGAAAAAATCAGGTGACTCAACGGGATTCGAACCCATGACCTCTGCGGTGCCGGTGCAGTGCTCTGACCAACTGAGCTATGAAGTCACACAGTGGTGAGCAGGTCAATATTGTTGGGCTCATGTTCATGGGTTCATGGGTTCGAATCCCGTTGAGTCACCTGATTTTTTCAGGTCCTGAGACGATTGCTTAAATTGTCCAGCAAAGTGCGAAGATCATATCTTCATTTAACTTCAAATACCGCACTGCATAAAACATTCATACGACATTCCTTTCACGAGAAAACATGAGCCCAACAATATTGACCTGCTCACCACTGTGTGACTTCATAGCTCAGTTGGTCAGAGCACTGCACCGGCACCGCAGAGATCATGGGTTCGAATCCCGTTGAGTCACCTGATTGTTTCAGGTCCTGAGACGATTGTTTAAATTGTCCAGCAAAGTGCGAAGATCATATCTTCATTTAACTTCAAATACCGCACTGCATAAAACATTCATAAAGATTTTTGATTGACTAACTTTATTTGTGGCAGCTTTCTTAGAAAAAAAAAGTATGCATCAACGATTTTTTGGGGTGTTTTTTTTTCATGATATATGTTTGTCAAATGTATAATATGTTATAAGTTTTTTACGAATTACTTCCTAAAAGTGAAAGAGAAAATTGAAATATTTAAGCAAAGTACATGCATGCGTTTTAATCATATCAGGTATTCAATCTTTTAACTTGGTCTACTCGAGTCAAGGTTTTGTTGTATTTGCGTGTCATATTGTATATCAAGCTGATCAATTCATTAGATATTTTGTAAACATGATTTGGCATATAATTTAGCATTATATTTAGTGACATTCATAGTCAAAGCGTTCAATAAAACCGGAAACAACATAAATTAATTAGCTATGTATTCCTTTGCTCGGTTTTTTTTGACACCTTGTATATCCTCCTCTAGCTTTAGTTAAAGTTTTGTATCATTTACACGTGTTGTCTATTGAGTTGATTTAGTTAATATATCCTTTGCAATAATCCTCCCGAGCGAACATTACTAGATAAATTCTGAGCAGTTCTTTTGTATACTGTCTGGGATGTCAAAAGACAGAGGTTTGTTTTCTTTCTCGATAAAGACAGCAACCTTGGTTACTAGGACCTTATGTAAACGTTAACCATTATCTAGTTAACCAACGTCAACTTTGGCGTTAATCATTAATTCATAATTTCTACTATCATTGAGATAAAAGTATAAAAGATCTATTCTTGCTCTTATGCCTTGGTTTTTGATATCAGTTACGTGACTTAACATTATAAAGGTACGCGAGTCCTATATAGAGCCATAAATTGGCAATCCTACAATCTAAACTTGCGTAAGGCAAAACGGTCTGTACCCCAATTTGTTTTTGATTATGGTCATTAAGATTCATTAACATGTGTATGTGCTTTTATGTTAATAAAAGCTAGCTTCAGAACTTTTGGCACTCTCACAAAAGAAAATTATTATTCGCCGAAAAAATATTTATGATGCATGTTCAATATTTGCGCAATAAGTCACCACACCCCGAGCTCGTTACTTAAGCACGCTGATACAAATGACATGATAGTAAGCAGAAAGCACTTGTGTGTATTGAGAGTATAGAGTAACGTTAAAGTTTTCTTGTTCTCTTGATAATGGTTAAGGATATCGCAATTATAAATTAATTGAAGTAACAAAAACAAGCTAGATATATTCAATTCATTTAATTAATTTTTTTGAAAGATTTACTTTTACTTTCAACATTACTTTAGATCTCGTAACACGAAATCAGAAAACCCGTCTTGTGGAATGCAGCAAGATGAATCTGAGGCAGAACTCGTTAAAATATCAAGGAGACGGGATGATACTAAAAAAGAGTAAGCCAAAAGCTTTTGTGTACGTTGGAATTTCAACAGTCACAAAAGCATCAGAATAGAGTGTGTATGTTTGCTGGGATTAAGTATAACGTAATAGTTTTCATGTTCTCTTTGTAATGATTAAGTTTATCAGAATAATAAATCAACGAGTAATAAAAGACATAATTTTTCATTAAATATTTTTTTAAAGAAAATATTAAATATAAATTTAGAGTTTCTAACACGAGATCAGAAAGCCCCTTTTGTGGAATACGGGAATCTGAGGCTGAACTCGTTAAAATGTCAAGAAAACTGGATAATATTGAAGAAAATCAGCTCGAGATAAAGAGTATAATTCGCGAGATACGACAAAACGTTGTTAGTATATATAGCTTTATACACGTTGTTATTTCTTATTTTAAGCAGGATGACCTTGCAGCTTATGCATTTCGCTTGAAAGATTATTGCAACTCAAACTGACATTAAATCCTTGCTATTAAATCTTGCAACCACCTTGTTATTGTGCAACAGTTGAAATGTTGGCGTTGTTTTCCTTAAGCATCAAGAAAGATATTTTGAATGAAATGAGTTCAGCAAGGACTAATATCCGTAAAAATTTCTTCGTGTAGTTCAAACATGCACTAAAGTGCTTAATTTGCAAAATTTTTCAGACAAAAAGCTGTATGTTAGACACTACATCTTCATATTGTAGCATCCCTATGATGTTCAAACTCATTGCGGCAATTAAAGTGTTTTTAAAAGCAAGCATTGCTGATATGTTTTTATGAGAAAGATATAAAAATTCATTCAGTAGTGCTGTTTGTTAGACGTTTTACTTCTAATGAAAAAAATTTTAGATTTTCTTTTACTGAAAAATCTGTATGGAATTAGGACTTCAAGCAAGCTACTCTACTTGGTATATTAATCTCCTCGATAAGACAATGAAAACCAATGATTCGACTTAAATGATTTCTTCACTAAAACGCTGTTATTATATATTGACTTAGGTATCGACACCTGCCAGACTATCTCGATCTGAAAGTTTTGGCCTTAATTACGATATCATCGTTTGGGGTGGCCGAGGTACCGACGAGTCAGATATAAATGTGGTTGAAAAATTATCACTAAACGAGAGTGGCGCCACGTGGGAGATTTTGCCAAAACTAAAAAGTGCTACGTACCACAGTACGGCTGTCGTGATTGATTCAATCATTTACGTCATTGGAGGCTCAGACATTATTGAATATCTGGACTATAATGGTAAATCTCAGGAGTGGAAGATGTCGAACGTTAAGTTGCCTTTTGCAGTTAACCGCCAGACAACAGTTATGCATAATGGGAAAATTATCCTGATTGGTGGATATAATAAAGATGAAGGTAATGTAGGTTTTTTTTCAAGCTTGTTGTAAAACCTGCCTAAAATTTTAATATTTCCATAGCACTTGCACGTGATCGCTTAATGCCGTAGTGAAATCCTATATCAAATATTTAACATAGCTTTGGCATGAAAATAAATGTTAATATATAACTCTCATATTATAAGGCGTGTGTTCACGTGCTAGGATTCTGATTAATCACGAAGGCAACATCTTAAGTAAGGAATACAAAATAGAACAGATTCCAAGGACAGACCTTTCGTTTTCTTTGTATTCAAAAAGAAGTAATTAAGGACAGATTTGGTCATATTTTGTCTTTATGACCACTCATTGTTGATTTCCTTACCTTATAAAATTCTCCATCTTGCAATCTATTTGTTTAATATGTTTATTTTCTTTTACATCCACAGCTTGTGACATCCAACCTTTTTCTACAGAAATCTGGTCTTAATTGCAGACTTTAAAGTGAATTTATGGTTAAAGCTATTGAAAAAGACAATGCAGTGAAATATTCTTGAGGGAGTGGGGGAGGAGGGTGTTATATTGCTGTCAAACGGGTTTTCTTTAAAGTGCCTGTATCATATTTTTGCAATTTACCTGTGTAGATAGTTCAGAAGATAAAAACATATTGTCAATATATTTTAGAATTCGAAAATTTGAACTTCGTGCCTTTTTTTAGAGCTCAAATTGGTGATTATTTGCCTGACTATAACATTAAAAAAACTATTGCTACACCTGAAGTCATATCGGGAATACGCTTCAGTAACTTAAAAACACTTTATTTTACGCATAACTTCTTCAAAAGCACAGCTTTATTGTCGCGTTAAACACGTTGATGGTATCTTGTGTCGTGAATGTTCAAAAACATCCAATTTTAAACAAAATACAACAGACGAATTCCCCATGTCACATCAAAATGGCCATTAGTTACCAGTATTTTTATATATAGGCGGTCAAACAGTGAAAATGGTCAATTTTTCAACTTGGAGCGTAAAAAGATCCAGCAAAATCATATTTTATAATTAAACATATTACAAAGTTTTCAAAGTAACTTAAACTATCTAAATGGCAGGAATGCAAAAACATGATACAGGCTCCTAAACTGTGGAAAATATGGGAAATAAGAACCCATGGGGAAGATTCGTCAATAACATTAAAAAATTATTCTGCTTAAATGAACATAAGACTTCGGGTAACCATATGAGCAGGAAAAATAAAACTTACGCTTTTTCATTTAAAATCTTTAGGGTTTTGTTCGATCCTTGCACAAGAGTTTTATCATGATTTTGTAAGGAGATAAGTATCATCAGCTCCAAAATATTTCTTTTCTTTTTCATTTAAGAAACATTTTCTAAAGAAATTATGGAAATATCTCTGTCTGAACCTTACCAATGTAAACCACTCTGTGACTTACCCAAGGCAATTGGCAATCATGGTTCAGAAAAGGTTGACGACAAGGTTTTTATTTTTGGTGGGAAAGATGAAAAAAAAACCTATGATGACGTCGTACTATTTGATCTTGCCACAAACAAATGTGAGATCATCTCAAAATTGAAGCGTCCATTACGATCCATGGGCACTGTTCGCTGTGAACACAAAGTAATTTTTAATTTTTTTGTTTTATATTTCACGATGGGTCATTGTAAGTTATAGAAGTTTAACCTTTAGTGAATTTTTAGCCTTGAAGGCATACTAAGCTAGTAAAAAAGGTGAATCCCACAGATTTTTAAAATTAAAATGTTTAAAAAGCCCTTTTGAGGATTTGTGGACGTATAGCACATTTTTGCAGTGGTAAAGAAAGCTCAAATTTTGTACCATTCAAACTCTTTTTAAATTAAAATATTTTCTTTAAATTTTTTTTCTCAGGAGTTTAAGAACAAAGTAATTATATTATATGACAAAAAATGGTTAATTTGGCCACTGTTTTCTTAACAAGCTCTAAAGCCTCTAGCACATGAAAACGATCTCCTGAGCAAAAAGTTGCTTGTGCTCGTAAGCTTAACTGACAACTCGTTCTTCGAATATGGATTTTGCTCAGTTGTAGCTGCAGCTCATGCAACTTTCTCTTATTTCCCTTACATATCAAGCAGGTTTAATATTTTTGGCCCAACAAGCCAAAAATCTAATCAATTGTGCAAAGTGATTATCGCTAGTACATGCTATAGCAAACTTGTCCGCTTATGTTCAAACTATTCTTGTTTGTTCGATGTATGATCCTTAGGCATTAAAAATTGAGTCGAAGACTAATTGAATATGTAAAAATCGTAAAGCAATTAAAGGGAAAAAGCACGAAAATCGTTTTAATGAAATTATTTGTTGCCTTAGAAACCACATTTTAGTCTCATTACATCATGACCTCTTCTTGTATATATGAATTTCAATTAGTAATAGCATGGGGGCTCGTTCGTCACGTCGATTGTCGCCAAAATTTTGCTGTTTGGTCTTGTGATAAAAGAACACGTTGCTACTCGTTACATATTTTGTTAGCCATTATAATTTGAAAAGAAATCAACATATGTTAGAGTTGAATATATTATGAAAACTCATCACCCTCCCCAATTGGCGCTCTAATTTCACCCCTGTTAATTATTATTGCTATTCACTATGTAAGTAATGTTTGCTGTGACTGGCAAAGTACCTGCAGATAATTCTCGATATCTACAATTATGACGTCATATCTACTGACGATAGTTTCTACACTTATTGACGCCATTAACAGCCGGTTTGGAAAAAACATAAAGTATTAGCGATGTTTATCTCAGTTTTTAAGCACGATAAGCAAAAACGTTTAAGAAAAAGCATAAGAAAAACATTAAAAAAGCGGCGAAACTAGTTTTGAACATATTTACAGCATATTAAAGGAGAAAGACTTGAAAAAACCGTTTTTAGCGACAAATCAACGAAGTCTTGAAAATGTTTTACATTTATAAGTTTTAATAATATTTCAGTTAGTCGAGGTGAATAATAAAACAAATATTGAATCCGTTTTTCGCATGATATCAAGAATTATTCAGATCTCGGTCAATGTTATCCGCCTCAGTTTTGCTTTAGCAGATAACGTTGACGTCGGTCTGAATAATCCTTGATATCATGCTCAAACTCATCAATATTTGCTTATTATAATATGCTATTAGATTGCTAACGGATTATAATTTTTGTAATATTTTAGATCATGCTTATTGGTGGTAAAAATGAGAATGGTTTTTCGCATGAAGTCTTTGAATTTGACATTAAAACGAACGTGATTACTTCGTTACCTCGCCTTAATAACGCAAGACGTGGATGCGCAGCAGTCGCAAACGGTGATGAGATCATTGTTATGGGGGGATTGGGTCGTAAAGGACCAACCAGATCCGTCAAGTCATACAACCTAAAAGAGAAAATCTGGCGACCAATGTCATCTTTGAAGAAAGCTCGTGGTCATACAGTTGCCGTGATTTGTACAACGCCAAATTCTAAGAATGCACGTCGGTCATCAGATTCTATAGACTTAGGATGTGCTCAATTGGAGAATAGTTTAACATAATCATTAATGACATGTTTACAAGGATGTCATGAACTTTTTTACATCCGAATTCTTTCTTATACGCACAGCTACTTGCTCTCATTTTCAATTATTTCCTTTCTATAAATCATTAGTTGAATTTGTATCGTACATTGTAGTAATCATAATTCCTTCTAGACAGGTTGAACTATAACTATAAATTACAACTATACTCAAAATGGTAATAGAAAATAAATTCAATCAACTGGCATTGTAAAAACCTTAAAAACACACTAGACAACTATATTTTACCCTGATCCTCAATCACGGTAAACCTAACCCTTACGCCTAACGCTGTAACTAACTTGTTTTCACGTAAAGAATGTGAAGGACTTCTCCGGTAAAAAAAATTCTCATGATAAAGAATAGTCAATATTTTTAAATATCTGAAGATTGATAAAAGTTTAGGCATTGACAGTACTGGTAAAAGAAACATGTTAAAAAACTACATAATGCTTACTGTTTCTGTGGTTCTTACTGTAATTTTTACTTTTAAATGAATTTCTACTTGATTTCCTTCCAAACCTGTGTCATTACCAGAGAGTTTAGCTGGATCTGGGACTAGACATGATTTGGATTCAGAGCAAACAAAGATAAATTGCATCAATGCTAGAGAAGTCCTTGGCCTCATATTTCAAACGTTGCCCTAAAAACATGGACTATGAAAAACCTGACCTCAGGTCTAAACTCAATAGCCAACCCAAAATCAGGTACAACTACAAAGCTGAGAACAACATCGCTTGATAAAATTAACACACAAGCTAACGATATGGTAAAAGCTGTAGAATGAAAGCACAACCGGCTAGATACTAAGAAAAAAGTGGAGTAAGTACACTTTAATTATTATGTGTGAATTATGTTTCTCAATCTTGTCCATTTGTCAGCAGGTATCAAGTCAAATATGTTTGGATTAAAAAATTGCTGCATATTTTTTACTTCTTAGAGATTTATTAATCTAAAGCAATTATCATGAATCGAGAATATTTATATCTATTTATTTCCAAATGATTTATCTAGTTGTCAAATGGCTCAAGCAATCACATCATAAAATATATTTTAAAGGTGTGCTCAAAATATTAAGAAGTCTAGTTAATCTGGGCTAGTATTACTCTTGTTTACACCAACTGTACTGAAATCTTATGCCTAATTAATAACATGGATTTAAGGTAAGCCCCCCATTTTCTGGAACTTAATGAGGTGCAATAAGAAATGAAAAATACTGAAAGTAGAAGAGACAAGATTAAATAAGGCTTGTAAAAGAAGCATAAAAACAAAACTTGATAAGCGCACTTTAACCATTAAGTGGTTATTTACTCATAGCTGGATCTGTTGTATCAAAGCAATTAAAGTCAAAATGCAATTCTTCTTTAGTGTCCCGTTAAAGATATTTTTATGCTAGATATCAACTATATCGACCTGCTCTCATGGGTTCATGAGACAATTGCTTAATTGTCCAGCAAAGTGCGAAGATCATATCTCCATTTAATTTCAAACACCGCACTGCATATAACATTCTTTCATATGACACTTCTTTCACGGGAAAACATGAGCCCAACAAATTGACCTGTTCTCCACTGTGTGACTTCATATCTCAGTTGGTTACAGCACTGTACTGGCGACGCAGAGGTCGTGGGTTCGAATCCCGTTGAGTGTACGTGATTTTTTCAGGTTCATGAGACAATTGCTTAAATTGCCCAGCAAAGTGCGAAGATCATATCTCCATTTAATCACTTATTCATGTTGGAGGAAAGATTTGGAAAAGGACAAGAGAAATTTTGTTAGAAAAACATCCACAAAGTACTGTCCCAAATATGGAAACATTTATAAAACAGGCGGAAGTTGATAAAATTTGTTATGATCCTATAATTTTTGATCAAATTACCGGAGTAGCAATAAAAGTAGCTGCAAACAACACACACGGGGCAGCTGGTCCATCAGGAGTAGACGCATATGCCTGGAGGCGTTTTTGCTCCTCATTCAAAGAGGCATCAATTGACCTGTGTAATGCACTTGCAGGGGTTGTCCGTCGTCTATGTACTTCATCTGTCAGTCCCGATGGTTTGTCAGCTTTTGTAGCATGTCGGTTAATACCGCTAGATAAGAATCCTGGAATACGTCCGATAGGTGTTGCTGAAGTTCCACGGCGGATTGTAGCAAATGTGATTCTTGAAGTGGTTGGGAAAGATGTCCAGTAAGCAGCAGGGCCTTTGCAAGCATGTGCAGGTCATGAAGCAGGATGTGAAGCGGCAATCCATGCAATGAATGAGATCATGTCATCAGATGAAACACAAGCTGTACTACTAGTGGATGCTACCAATGCTTTTAACACTATCAATCGGCAAGCAGCACTGCATAACATTGCAATAATTTGTCCGTCAACATCAACTGTACTAAATAAGACCAATCAAGCGCCAGTTAGGCTGTTTGTTACTGGAGGAGGAGAAATTCAGTCAGCAGAAGGGATAACACAAGTGGATCCGCTCGCAATGGCAATGTATGCACTTGCAGTTACACCTTTGATTCGTAGGCTAAGGTCAGAAGAACCAACAGTCAAGCAAGTGTGGTTTGCTGATGATGCTACATGTGGTGGGAAAATAAAGTCATTAAGAAGATGGTGGCAAGACATATCTGACATTGGGCCAATGATGGGTTATTTTCCAAAGAGAAGTAATTCGTATCTTGTTGTTAAGTCACAGCACTTGGAAGAAGCGATAAACCATTTTGGAGGAACGGAAATTAATATAACAACTGAAGGCCATGGAATGTTGGGATCAGCAATTGACTCCAATTTGTTCGTCCAAGAGTATATGGCAAGAAAGGTTGAGGTATTTGTAGAAAAAATTGAAAGTCTTTCAAAGATTGCAGAACGTTATCCCAATCAGCGTTTGCGGCGTTTTCTCATTGTATAATGGGAAAGTGACGCTATATAATGCGAACAGTTGAGAACATCAGTGAGTTATTTCAACCTCTGGAAAATGCAATTTCGTAGACATTTATACCATCACTCACTGGAAGAAACCAATGCAATCAAGATGAACGAACACTCCTTTCACTTCCTATACGATTTGGTGGTCTAAATATTATCAACCCAGTTAAAAGTGCAAATGAAGAATATCTTGCTTCCAAAAACATCATTCAATGCCTGAAAGAGATGATTGTTCAACAGAAAGAGATACTTCATAAACCTCAGTTACAGTCAATCAAAATGATTTTACGAGAGCAAAAGAAGAAGAAAGTTGGTGATATGATCCGGGAAATAAGAGATAGTTTTACGCCAACAATGCAAAGGAAGCTAGATATACTGAGCGAAAAAGGATCGTCATCATGGTTAAGTGTACTTCCATTACAAGATTAAGGCTTTAATTTGAACAAAGGGGAATTTCGAGATGCATTAAGTTTACGTTTTGGATGGGAATTAAAAAATACCCTTCAGCACTGCATTTGTGTAAAGGCTTTTGCAACCGATTACGCGATGATATGTCCTCATTGTGGTTTACCAATAGTGAGACATAATGAAGTTCGATATATAACAGCACAGTGGATGGCAGAACCTCTTTCTGGGGAAGTGATATTACCTCGTACAGCCAATAGACAAGAAGAAGCGAGGCTAGATATTCGTGCTAAAGGTTTTTGGTGTAGACAGCAAGATGCCTTTTTTGATGTAAGGATATTTCACCCAAACGCGTCGAGCTACCAAAACACCAATCTTCCTGCACTCTATCGTCAGCATGAGATGGCTAAGAAAAGGGAATATGGTGATCAGGTAAGAGAGATTGAATATGCTGCTTTTACACCACTGGTCTTTTCAACATCAGGTGCATGATATAGGGAAAGAGACGGCAATTGCTTATAAACGGCTTGCTGATCTGCTGGCACAAAAGAGCAAGCTGCAATATGGCATCACGCTAGCGTGGATGCGTTGTAAACTGTCTTTCGCACTGATATACGAGGAAGTTGTAATCGATACAACATTTCTTACTGCGATACGAGGAAGTCGATCTGCCTCAACTCGCGAACACACTTTAAATATTGACCTAGGTTATTGGGAAAGTTGTCTTTACACCTGACTTTCCCTTTTCTTTTCTTTTTTTTTCTTTCTTTTTCTTTTTCAAGCTAGTAATTTGAAAACTATCATGGATATTTTAAACATTGATTTTAGTTAACATTTTTATATTTTTACGCTGTAGTTATAAAAGTTGTACCATTTTTATCATTAAATTTCATAATACAGTCATTAATGGCGCATTATCATCATCATTATTATTATTTTATTTTATTATTATTATTATTGTTATTGATATTATTATTATTAAACGACATTTCATAATCAGCATTAAAAACGTTGTTTTCAAGATGTGTCCTCCATATTACTTATAAGATATAAACTATAGAAGTGCATACTAAAATTAATTAAAATAAAAAATAAGGACTATTAAAACAACATATTATAAGCTATCATTTAAAAAATCCATTTGACATATTACAAAATTGTTATAATTTTTTCGTGCCGTATTTCTATGAAAAAACAATTGTAACTTTTTACTCCTTAAAAACAAATAATTAATTGTCCAGCAAAATTTGGTACAGACTCACAATTGGATTTTTTTAAGAGATCTCGTATTTCTTGCGTTATTGGTTTGTTCATTCACTCCGAAGTAATTGTAAAAACTGGTACATGTTTGTTTATCCAAACATTGCCTTACTGTCTTACAATTACGTTTGTGCATAGTGCATACTCAATCTAGAATGTATACTATAAAATAAAACATAATCCGAAAAAGGACTTCTTCTACACTTAAATTCACGTTATTAAACAAGACAATTAAAAGTGCAATATTTCCGTTTTGTTTTAAAACCATCATCAGACAAAGTGATCAATGATAACTGGGTTTTAAGCATTCCTGCATATACGTCATGATAGGTTGAATCATTGTATTATATATCATTTTTACATCCGCTGTATAAATATACGTCGTGCATATACGTTATGACAGGTTGAATCATTGTTTTACACATCGTTTTTACATCCGTTTTATAAATCATTATGTATTTGTAAGCCTGAATTTATTTTTAGAGCCTAAACTGTGTGTTAGTGTTACAGGTTAGCGTTAACAAAAACTTATTACTATAAAGAACAACATTTTTAATTCATAGAAAAATGATACCTGCTCTTGGTCGCCAATTCAACTTGAGGATGCTTTATGATCGTCGCTTAAACACATTAATTTCAGGAGAAGCTCTATGGTTACCTGAGCAAATGAAAGAAATTTTAACTGTTCAAAAACTTCAAGAACTGATGAAGTCTTTACAGAAAATTCAAATATTGACAAAACAAATGTGCTTGACATGGATGCAAATATTGACATGGTGAATTTTAAGGGAGTAGCAAAATACTTAAATGATGTAAAAACATCGAACAGTCAATTCGGTTTTGTTCTCAAATACGAAACGACAACAGCGATAAAACGACTAAATTTTTAACATCGAGGTAATAGAAAAACTCAGTATTCTAAGTTATTTGACCCTTACATGGCTACTGATGTCGTTTTGAAATATTGTGCAATTCCAAGCATTTATTGTGTTTCATAAGGAACATTCAAAAGATAAGTCTGTTAGAAACGTAAACGAAAAGATTGAATATTTGGTAAAAAGTCTACGAAATATAGCACTCGATAGTAATGGCGTAATAGGTATAGTAAAGAACAGAAAGAAACAATCAAAAACATCAAGTGCATGATATATGCAGACTTTCACGTGGACAATAATCTGACAAATTTTGAGGAGGCTGTAAAAGTCTACAATAAGTTACCGTCACTTATTAATGAGAAAAGATGGAATTTAGTTCCAATCAAAGTGCAACAACACCCATTGAGTAGCTTTGATTGTAGATATAAAATAATAACAAAGGAGATAACTTTAAAATTGGCTAATGAGACATCTGAAATACTTCAATTTCTCAATTTTTGAAGCAGAGTGTAATGACCTTTTTCTAGAAGATATTTTTTGTAACTTTCCAAGTTTGAAAAAACAGATTACTCTCTATCGTAAATATATTGAAAAGTACAAATCAAATTGTTAAAAAAGGTGTACTTTCTGCTTCCTAAAATTATTGGAAGAAAAAGTGAAGAATAAGTGATTGCCAGCATTGTTAATGAAAATGAAAGACCTCCTTTTTCTTGCAAAGCTTTAGAGGCATGGCTTAAGAGAAAGAAGAACGAAGTAAAAAGATTGCGAAGTTTACTGAAGTAATTTCGGAGAAACCCCTTTTATCATTTAAGAAAGTTTGGAAGATTGTTTGTTTGATGCAATTTTAAATTCATCATTTGCTGCAATTTTAAGATTTTTTTTGTAAGAAAAGTTTCAAATTCTCAACATGGATGCCTACCTAAATGGAAATGATGCTTTACCAGAAACAAACATGTTCAAAACAAACGTGATATCAACACTCAAAGAAATCCGTTCTGCCCTGCAAAACTTTAACATGTTGAAGTCAATTAACGAAGAAAATGACGAAGTCAAATTTTTATTGTCAGAAAAATCTTTTCTCCCTGATTACAATGGTGCAAGTACAAACTTCATGCACAATGTGAAGGAGAAAACAAATGGTGTAACTCCATTACCCTCTAACTTTTTTGATCATTATCGTAAGAAATGCAAGAAAACCTGCCAAATTTCAAAATATGACTCCAAAAATCTTTAAAAAATCAAGTTTTTGTTTGAACAGATAAGCGTAATATCTGCTTTCATGTTTTGGTAACATACATGCAACTATAAATTTTAAAGGATTGCCAACAAAAATTCTGCGTGATTCTACCTTTATAAAGACAGTAGAAGAAATACACACAAATTCACAGTTCCTCCCTGAAAAATATATCTCTGTAGCTTATATTTTTGTTTGCAAAAAACCCCGGTGTTGCGCATTAAATTTGCTTGATGCTTCTTAATAACAAGACATGTTCTTTTATATCAGACATGTGTTTTACTTACTTCTTTATTAAAAAATTATTTATATTATCTTTATACTCATTCCATCGAAAAAAGAATAATCAGACCATTATAGATTTTTGATAACAGTTAAGGGCTGTTTTACCATTACTTCAGAGGCTTAAAGGGTTTTGACTTTGAATATTTACTCGTTGCTTAATTATTGCTTGACTTGATCGTCAAACTCATTCTACAAAATTTTGGTGAACGTACACAAAACCTGAATTTTATAACAAATCATCTTTTCATTCCAAGGGTTTTCTATGACTTTTGATCTGCTCAAGTTTCCTCAGGACAATGACAAGTAAATAAAAGATTTTTTGCATCGATATTCTCTTTGGACTTGATAACGACAGCAACACAATTTCCACAATGGACTCTCTACTCCAACGAAGATAACTTCTATCTTCTTGGTATGGCCATTAGACAATTCAAGTATATAATCTCATCTTCTGTAAAAAGAAAATACACCTCGTTTTTGTTTTCATTCTCGGTGGACGACTCGTATCATGCAACCAATACTTAATAACTAGTTTGTTAATTGTTATGATATTATTGCAGCTTCTGCTCTTTTTCCCGACGAAAACGTCGTGTTTGATAAAGTTTTACAAGCAATGAAAACTTTCGCAAAGCTATCATGAGTTCTACAACTTTTTTCACTACTCAGCAACTGGTTTTTGGGTAAAGGATTCTCTGCCGTTGCACTAGACCTTAGTTATATTGGATATTCGTATAGATACGATAAATGCATATTATAGATTTTGAAGGGATTTAAGAAAGAAAATTTATAACTAATTGTTGTATGCAGCAAACTTTTTTTTATTTACACAGTTCAAAAATTTTTTTATTTAGATACTAATATATGAACAGCGTATTTGCTATGGTGAATGATAAATATATATTTTAAATAGAACTGTTAAAAGCCAGACATAAACTTTAGGGGTGCATACTTTTGAGCGCCATAAGTTTTTCTGATAGTGATAGGGGACATGCCCTCTCCTTCGAAATTTCTAAATCTCAATTCACGTGGTATCAGTTTCCTGTGTTTTGGGGGTTTTATTTGCATTAAGTTGAAATTTATTTGCAACAAGAAAACTTCCGAATTTTTATAAATACTTATATATCTATTGCTAAAATGCTTGCATTTAATTGCGAAATTTATAGATAAGAAATATTCACCTACTTAAATAATGAAGACTTTTAAAGTAAAAATTTTCTATAAATCGGCATTATTGAAGTATATTAGTATTTAAAAAGCAGGCATCAAAATAATCTGTTTTTTACAACATTGGAAAAAATTAAGAGTTTAAAATGTGTTGCACTAAGAATTTCTTATTTTAATACCCTTCAAATAGCAGTTCTTTTATAAGAATTATAAGAACGTCTACAACACTTAGTGTTGTCTCGCTAAATTCCTTTTTCTGGGCGACATGTCCACAAAATGTCGAACAATATTTCAATGTTCCATAACCCTTAATTCTGTTATTTTAGAATAGATTTGAGGACATAAACAAATTGGCGTCAATAAAAATTAATTGGGGGGAGGGGAGGGGGCATTTCAATTTACGCCTTTTTGGGTTCATAAGCAATTGCAATACTTTTTTAATTAAGTAAAAATACTTTCAATGACACAACGAAGCACATGGACACGCAAGTAAATACTCAAATCAAAAGTGTCAAAGTACGCTTAGTAGCCACTTCAGAAATTTTTCTGAACTGCCAAAACTTTAATAAAACCAGATAGTTTGGTGAACAAATTATGGATTAAATGAGTTGGGATTTGGAGTTACATAGATAATCAAACAAGTGTCAACCCCTTTCCTACTTTCTACTCTCATTTCCTTATTATGAAAAAGTATTACCTCCAAGCTCATTCCCTTGCCCTACTTGTCAATGCCACGGAGTTATAAATTAAATGACACCATGATTTGCTGGCTTAAATTTTAGTGAAAGGATACTCATACTCTTTCTCCACTATATTTCTCTAATTGCTGCTCAAACTAAAAACCTAGTTACAAACTATAATCATGACATTAGTTTTTTCTATGGTTAACTTTAAACCAATTCTCAAATATAACCCACTCAAAAACACGAATAGCCTTGGAGTTTCCATGCAATGCATACGCATCAAATTGGCCAATGATTATCCTTTTTTGTGGCTTTCCCCGCCCCACACCATTTCAAATTTTTGGTGGGCTAAAGCCCCTCCCAGTCCTTCCGCCTTTCAACGCCTATGGTAAAATATTGGTGTGCAAGATAATCAATACACTCAAATAAAGAATACGTGTTATTCACCTCTAGGGATGGAAGCCAACGGATATCATGGTGCATGAAGTTTCCGCAGGTTTAAAACATTCATGAAGCATAGCTATGCTATGTTTATATTAGAAGGCTGCATTTGATGGCTATAATAAAACAATAAAACTGTTTATATTTGTTTGTTTATCATCCAGACTTAGAAAAGTGATCGAGTCCATGAAAAGAAATTGGTCAGAGGAAACTGAATTTGCTAAACAGAATAGACTTGAAAAAGATAGACTTTCTAAAAGACAAAAGAGGTCAGTTGAAACTAACTTTGAACGACAATCCAGACTAGCTATGATAAACAATCTAAAAGACAAAAGAGGTCAGTTAAAATTGATATTGAGCGGCAAGCGAGACTTGAGAAATATAGACAGTCTAAAAAACATAAGAGAGCAACCTTGGATAAGTTTTATAAATATATGCAATATAATGTCAGCCACTGTACAATTTGTTATGAGGCATAGCCCCTCAAATCTAAACCAACATCTACTTATGTGGTTTTAGGTTGCTCTGAAGACAGAAAACATCTTTGAAAGTTTTCATTTGAAAACTCCATGATTGCTGCATCCGTCCCAGATGAACTGGAAAACTTAACTCAAGTTGAGGAAATGCTGATTGATTTTCGGGCATTGCCAATTATAAGAGTTCATATTAAGGCATGCTAGTGGTCAACGAGGTTATTCACGGCATTGTATCGATCAAACTTGCACAAAATCTTATAGAGCTGGCAAAATTTTCGACCAGAAATCCTAAAGATTTGGTTGTTTTATTGTCAATGATAACACATTCAATGATGTAATAGTTAGAAAACAAAATATGCACAATGCTTAAAGTGCTACTGAAGTGAAATTTTGGGTATCGATTTTTTTCTATAATCAAATAGTTCTATCTTTCCTGATCACTTTGGCATAATTTTTATGCATATTGAAGCACGGGATCAACAATAAATTTTTGCTCAAAGTTGGGTTACGCGTGCGAATTTTTACCACTGAAATATTATACGGATGTGACGTAATAAAAAGGACGGAAGTCGAAGTAGGAGCATTGATTTACTAGTATTTTGTTAGATTTTTAACACATATACACAATAAAATATGAGTTATTCAAGCAGTGAAAGCGAACGCAGTTCGGATACTGAAAACTCAGATATGGCAAATGAAAATTTACTTTCAAATTCCGGCGATGAGGATACAATTGTGGCTAATTCAGTGGTAAATCCTTACGAAAATGAACCTCTTGCGAACGCAGTCGGAGAGAATTTTGTGTCGGTCGAAGAAGACGCAGATGGCTTAGAACCTCGAACATTGGAAGCGAGGTTCGAAGGAACCTTTCAATTAGATAAGTGGTAAGTTGATAAATGTTACTAGAACTCTAGAAGAAATTAAACCATGAATTAAACATGTTATTTTGTCCTTATGTCGTGGTGTATAAATATGATAACAAACCACTTTTTTATAGGTGTGCATGTAGCTTAGGTCGTACTCAACTGCTGACAGATGCCATTGAATACCGTTGTTGTCAATAGGTTGGGCCTACTTTGCATAAACTGGTATTCGATGTTAGCATTGAAAAAATTAGCTGTGTTACTCTTTACAAAGAGTACACGATTATGACACATGCTACAGTCTTGAAGAATGTTGGAAGAATGTTGGCTCACTTCTAAGAGACCAAGATGGAAGGTCATACAAGCGTATGACCAAGAATACATGAAAATGAGTTGGTACATTTTTGATTTCTAATTTTGTTTTGTAACGAATGATTAATATCTTGCCATGTATCTCTACTTTTTACCTTTATGTGGTTCATTATTGTGCTGTCATGCTTCACAATTTTGTTGTGTGAAATCAAAATAATTAATCAAATAAGAACATTTTTTGTAGCATAGTATATTATTTTATAACTAACTTTAAAGTTGGCCTGCTAAGAATATTTGTCAAGTAATTCTTGTGGACAATGACCTTTTGGATGTCCTTTCATTGGCTGTCCACAATTTTTGCATAAGCGCATTTTTTTTGGATCTGAAGGACCTGTTGAAGCAGCTTGTTTTTCTTTGTCTAAACCTTTTGCTTGCAGTACATCTTGCTGTTGATCTATAAATAACAATTTAATTTGTTTACTTTTAGAATGCACTGGCCATACCTATTATACATGGTAGCATGAACAACTTACATGTGGGAAACAATGGTGTTGAAGATAGTTGTTTCCTATCCAAATGCCGTTGGATTGCCTCAGTTTTGGAAATTCGATCCGAGAAAGTTTTGTTTAAGGCTTCTCGGACTTTTCCTTATACTTCTTAAATATGTTGTCCATGGATTCCTCACAACTAAGAACCATGACATTTTGATTTCATTAACATAGTCTGGAAAATGACAAGTGGTTAGATGTGTAAGTCAAGAGTACCAATGCATACATGCTAAACTTACAATATGATGGTGCTGAAGAAACAGTTCTTACTACTTCATCCCCTGATTTAAATTTTGGGTATGTCACAGAATAATATGGTGTTCCATTTTTTGTTTTTTTTGGCTGTCTGTGAAGTTTTTCATTGAAATGAAGTACTGCCAGTACGTGCCTAAACAGAACAAACCATTCACTATGTAATTTTTTTTCTTGACTAGGAACAAGTAAAAAAGCCTTGGCAGATAGAGAACAGTGATTACAAGTTACCTGCAATATGTACCAAGCCAAGAAAAGTGGGTCATCTTTGGATGCCAACCATTTAATGTTGAATGAAAACCTTCGAGACAACTAGTTTGTGCTTATGTTTGACTAACTTAATAAAAAATTATTCTCCTTATATTATGTGCGTTGTGATAATATTGCATGGGTTTTAAAACCACAGACTACATCAAGGATGCGACACCCATATGATAAGAATGATAAGTCTAATCCAGAAGTTTATAAAAGTAGTATACATTGGATGATTGGAAATAAGCGCGTTACAGTTAGTTTCTGATAACATTGCGTGTGTGTTAAAACCGCAGACTTCGTCAAGGATGCGGCACCCAGTTTATTGAGAAATATAAGTTAATTCAAGAAGTTTATAAAACTCTAATCGATTGTAAATGTTGCTTACCTATGCGTGTTGCTCATTTGTCACTAAATATACGCAATTTTTGCGAAGAGAAGTTATAAAATATGTAAAATTCCAGGTGGAAATATGCTTGTTCGTATATAATTTTTATATACTAAGAGCTTTAAAATTGAACTTCCGTCCTTTATATGACGTCACGCACTCAAAGTAAAATTCGCATCAAAACAAGCAAATATGCCATGTTTGAGCACAAAGTTCGATGCGTTCCCATCGATTAAATTCAGTGGGCGATAGCTCAAAATGATCAGTAAAATACAGAGAAAACGTTTGTATCGAAAAACGAAATATGAAAATTTCACTTCAGTAGCACTTTAAGTTTAGTTGAATAATAATAACCCAAATTATTCTGAAAAATTAATTTATGCATGCATTGAGTTTATTGCCTGCAAATGGTGTACCACCAGAGCTTATGACTATGGAAAAAGATGATGATATTGCTTCTGCGATTACCTTTTCACCCGATATATGTCCTCGTACTGATAATCCTTGTGAAGATATTGTTTACAATGACTCTTCAGATATGAGTAGTTTTTACTTGCTGGTGAGCAGCAACAACAGGAAGTTGAAGGGTATACCCATAAAGTCATGAGTAGTGTTTTACAGTTCATCATTTAATGTGATTCCTGTAAGTATAAATGGTTCACGTATAAATGGAGCGTGGAAATGTTGAAGAAGGTGAATCATGCACCAATCGTTCACTTCTTGACGTATATGCCAATCGTCGTGAATATGATAGTTCCTAATTTTTGACTATAAACTTCGTCCAATTTTGCTTCACATGCAAAGTTGTAAATAACCTTCTTACAAAGCTGCCTGAAAATGTTTTACAAAAAATATTTCCAACATATTTTCAAATACAAAAGGTCAAAACTTTGACTTTATTCCAAATGTACCAACTTTTTGAGGTACAAACTCTGTGGAAGGTCTCAGAATAACGCATGGGGTGATGAAGAAAACGCTACTGACGAGACTTACATAAACACCCCTTATGCAAATACCTTAATATGGAAAAAATAATGTCTCCGACTAGTTTGACAAGTTACAAGCTGTAGCTGCAAAGTAATTCGAGAGTAATGGATGATTATATCAGACTTTCAACCAGTATACGGACACGCCAGATTTGGCGAATGACTGGCATACTTACCGCGATAATTACTCAGAACAACACATCCATGAATTACCATCATGGTTAAAACTAGTTCACAAATATGAAAACGTACCATGGCCAAATTTTTTAGCCCTCGTGGGTACTGACCTGTTTGTTCAGCGATAAAATTTAAACAATGGTTGTGCAATGATGCAAGACAACTACATAAGCAGTGCAAATAGTTTGGTAACTGAAAGATTGAAACTTGTTTCGTCCAATCAAGTATGGCTATCTATTAGATTAGACTGTTAGGTTATGTGCAGTAAAAAATCCCATTCTTACAAAAAAGAGACATCGAAGCCAGACTATAATTTGCCAGAAATAACCTTAAGAATAATGAAACGTACTGAAAGAATATCATTTAGTCGGATCTCACAAAATTGGAAATTTTTGGATAAGATGCAGTTTACGTGTGGAGAAAGAAGAGACTTGGAGAGAAACGTCTATAATCCAAACTGCATCATTGCCACTGTAAAACATGGTGATGGTTACGTGTGGTAGTATCGTGCTATGGAGAACTGGACAGCTTGTCAAGGTGATGAGAATAATAAAAAGGAAGACTAAAAGAATATTTTGAAAGAAAACTAAAGCAGATAGCCATACTGGGTCTGGTGAAAACCTATCACCAAAATCAGTGTTTTTCACTGGCCTGGACTTAAATCCTATCTAAAACCTGTGGAACAAGGTGATGAAAAGGGTCCGTGAGAAACAAAGATCAAATTTGGTAGAGTTGGAAAACTTTGAAAAGAATAGAAAATAGTCTGCCAGACACACTGAATGAAGCTTGTTAGCTAAGAACTACAATGAACGACTACAAGCGGTCATCCAGCAAGAATAAAAAGAGAGCTAACAATTTTTGCCATGACACTTATTTTGTATTTTAGTAAACCACAAAACAATTGACACTCCGTATAGAGTAAACATTTCTTCTGACTAATTTAAAATAAAATGGTTACTTTATACGGAGTGTACCAATACTTTTTGGCCGCCTTAATTTTTGTTTTGTATTTGTGTTCTAAGTTTGTACACATGAGCAACTTCAGCTAGTAGCTATGTATGTTATTACACAAAACTGACTGTGCTCAAACTTGTTATGTAGAGAAACTTGCTAAGTGTTAAAAGGAGTCTGGAATATTTCAAAAATAACTAATTTTCCATAAGGGAGTAAGAATTCTGTCTTTGAATATTATTGCTGTGGACTATCAGAAACGTCATCAAAAATGCAACTCTTTTTCTTTTAAAGATAACTTTGAAGATGATTATGGGCTAAGGTTGTCAAAACGTACTTCAGTCAACATCACCAACAGTTTTTCTCAGCTCTCTAATAAGCGGGATCTTTTTTTACCTACAAAAGTCTAACAATATTCCCGTGCTCAAGCTATTAAAATGTTAGAAATTTTAGAGAGACTGTGAAATCTAATTTTCAATTTTTGTGGGAATAGTTTTTAGGCTTCTCCAAAAGTTAAAATGGCAAGGCCCCTAATTTGGAGCCAATCCAAGCCTAATAGCATGATTGGATGATGAACTTTGAGTCGGTATAAAAATAAAATCATCGCAACTAAAACATGATGTCTTAACTAAGGTCACTATGCTTAAGGAAATTGCTTAATCATTGAAGAAACATCGTCTGAATTAACTAAGGAGCTGTTTACATGAACCTAACTGAAACTTTATATGATGTGAGAACCATCTAGTAACGTCTACTGTAAACATGTAACATGATCTTCAATGTAGTTCTTGTTAATATTGTATTACTGTACATGTATGTCGTGAATAGCCTAATTTCAGTTACCCCTATAAGCGTGAAATTGTATCACAAGCATCACTCTAATAAACGTTCTGTCTCCAATAGATAAATAATGTGACGTTACATTTTATTCGATATATAGGCATGCCATCAGTCTCTCCTTGCTTCACGCTAGTAGTAGAGCAACATTAAAAGTGGGCGAAAATTGCGCCACACAAATTTTTAAATATCAGTAGTACGTATATAATATAGTGTGTATAGTTTGCACAGTATGTATGCATTGTAGCTTGTATGGTGTGGAATGAAAATGTCAGTTTGTAAACAACAATGAACTCAAGCAAATTTCAAAAACATGCTATGCACCTCTTATGGAGGAGGACCAACGCAGATAATGGTGTATGACAATTCCGGAAGTTTGAAGTACTTGATTAATTATTATTGTCAGCTCCACTTTGACTCATTAATTGTTTGTTTTAAGACGCATTTTTTAGTTATTTATTCAATTTTCACGCTTTACTGTATATATCTGCGCTATTAATATTATTTGCTGTGGTTGAAATTAATTCTTTGCCGTTTGATTGATTTCCCCCGGATTTACTTACGTTGTATCGTTTATAGCGGACATATACTACGCCACACTTCTCCACACCTTGAATTAATTTTATGCACGACGTCGAGAGTGCTCGTCACATGATCTATGCCTTATTGACCAATAGGAAGCGAGAACAGAATGCAGCAACATTCTCAATTGAAGAGAAGCTGTGTTTATGTACATTCAACTTTGAGTTGAGTTAAATTTGGGTGTATTGTTAGTCTGCTTTGAGAAGAAAACCTATATTTGCACAAGGGTGGCAAGAAGAGGTGCTAGGTTTACTAAAATCCTGTGAAGATGGATAACGAAATGAAATATTTAGCTGTGGACAGGCGAAGTGTTGGCGACCCCACTTTGCAAGCGGAATGGAGCGCGAAGAAACTTGTTTGGGTGCCCGAAAAAGAACACGGATTTATCCCTGGAAGCGTAAAACAAGAGAAAAACGATGAAATAACTGTTGAATTATCAGGTGGCAAACGAAAGACGTTTAGCAAGGATGACATACAGAAAATGAATCCACCAAAATTGGAGAAAGTCGGAGATATTATAGCTGAGCCTGCACTTTTATCAGACGAAAACATTGCGTTCCACAAAATGTCGAATAAACTCTTCAATATTTCTAACCCTTCTTTTATTTATGTTAGACATGATGGCATAAACACATTGGGCGTCAATCGAACATTTATTAGGGAGAGTGATCAATGATTTCACATTCAAGAGAGATCAGCATGGCATAGCACAATATATGATTAGATTGCAGGGGAGTATTACCAAAGTTTCAATTGATTGACACTTTCAGTGAAATGCAAAAACTTACCTATAACATTGTCAAAATCTCATTTTTATGATAGTAAACCAGGTAAAGAGCCAATTTGTTTCATTATAAATGGTGTAGCAGCGACTGGTAAGAGTTATCTAATTAATGTGAATTTGAAATATGCTATAAAGCAAGTGTGCTATTGTCGGCACAACTAGAAAAAAGTGTATATAATATACGAGGAACAACAGCAATTCATTCCTTATTGAAGTTACCTATATGGTCACCAGGTAAAAAGACCTAACAGGATACAGCTTGCGTAGATTACAAAAGAATTTGATTAATATACAATACTGTTGGTGTTTATTTAAAGTAGCATTCTTATTAAATATATTAACCGCTGACCATATACCAAATATGGTGATAGAACAAAAACGTGCTATAGAAGTATTTCTAGTGAGGTTGATTATTGTTGTGCTATCTAATGTAAAACTCTTTTTTTTCTTAAATAAAATAAATCTTCTGAACCATTCGCGATCCACCGACATATTCAACAAATACTTCATCATTGATGTGTATTCTATACTTGGGCAAGTTACTTTTAGTAGGAAAGACAAACGTTGCAACTGGTTAATAGCGGGTAAAGTACTTGGAGGAAATTCATCAAAAACCACCTAGGTGGCAAACAAAGTAATCAGAGATACTACTAGACATTTTTATAGCAATGAGCAAGTTGCCAGTTACAAACACGACCAACTAACAAAGCTTGAAAATGCAATTGCACGAATTAACGCTCTCTCTATATGTTAGAAATAGCAAATAAAATTTGTTTTGATGACATTTAGGCTTAGAACCTGTTGTTTTTCTTGCAAAAGGTGCAAAACCTTAAATAATTCATTGCTGTATGCAACTGAATATTCATTTAAAATGTGAGAAATTTAATTGTAATAATTAATTAATAATTTAATTCATTTTAAAATCTAAGTTTTCAATTTTTGCGAAGATAGTTTTTATGCTTCCCCAACAATTTTATATCACATACATCACTAAGGTTAAGAAATATAAGGCCATAAGCATAATTGAGTGATTTTTATCATCTACGGCAAGTAACTACGTCAGAATCTGACCTTACAGGTGCACAAAGCGATATATGTCATTTTGACTCTGCTGAAGAGGCAATTTTGAAAATTCAAAAGATCATACTCTTCGTTGTTATTCCAATTCCAATTTTGTTTGTTCAAGCGTTTTCTTGCACCAAACAGCGTTCGCAAGTTTCTTCAGCTTCGAAATCTCAATTGAAATGCCTTCTTGAATATCCAAACAACCGAAACTTCGACTTAGTTGGCGCAGAATATCAAACCTGCAGCGAAGTCACAGTCATTGCGCAACAAAATTATGGCTAGGGTTTTGATCCAGGTCTCGTGGTGGCACTCGTACAAAATGCTCGAGCTTTAATAGGCTTCACCATAGAGATTATAAATAAAACTTATTATTTATAAAACGTATTATATATAAAAACGCTTTATTTATACTCTCTATGGGTTTGACACCACTTGTCACTCTTTCTACGGTGTCAGAAGATGGTAAATTTATCTACGTTTGAATAAAATGTTAGAGTTTTCTTATATTATTTAAGTTCTTTGATACATTTGATCTCTGTAATGCGATATTGCATAATTTATAAAATCCTAACGGTGTCATTAGACACACTTGACCCCCCTAGATCCGCCCCTTTTTTGCACAACAGAACTCACACAATTCAAACAACACGGCACAGCGATTAAAATCAATTGTGTGTACCTTAAATTTCTATTCATTTTTATCATGTTTACTGAAGATTTAAACGTGGTTAACACTTGCTCTTGTCCATTTGGTTCCTCTTAAGTAAAGTATTCGTGAAGACAAGTTGGCATTATAATTTTCAAAGGAATTCAACAATGTTGCCTGTAAAAGGTTTTCGGGTTTTTGTGTTTTTCAATCCTTGATTAATTTCAACATATTGTTTCTCGGTCGAAGAAAATAATTTAAAGTACTCCAAAATTGTAAAACTTCTAGTCATATCAAAGAGAAAGTTTGTTTTTTTTTGAATTTTTTTCAGCTTCCAGGAAATATATAACCTCATAGATTTATATATTATTTCAAGTTGGCGAAGCTACAATTAAAAACAAAAAATTACAATTGGTAATCTTAGATACATATTAAGGATGTAAGAAGTAAATAGAAAAATTAAATTTCTCATAAGCGGCAAAAACGTTTTTCTTTTCTTTGTGATCGAAGAAAGAAAAATATATTTTCCACACCTGGATTGTGTCTTGCTCTTCTTCATTATCCTCATCATCAACTGCAACATCCTTAAGGGTTATTTTAAGCTGCTTTGGCCAATCGCCAATGTCCGAAAAATCAATCGTCCTGAGCTTCAAAGTTGGCTCTGGATGCTGCATTTTATGCAGAAATAATCTTTTCAAAATTTAATGAAGATCGTAAAAATACTTGTTTTATAGCTATGAGCATGTAATACAAATTCCCGCGCCTCATGTTTGTAAGATAAATGTGCCCGTTAAATTTTTTATTTATGACCATACTAGAATTCAAATGCATAAGTAAGGTAGTAAAAACAGAATCGCTCAACGGAAACAGCATATCTCACTTGAATAACATGCAGCTTGCGTAACATTCAAGTTATTTGACTCAAGTTATTCTCGATTGCTTTCAATTTTGAATTACGCGTTGGGTTTCTTATCACATAAAAATACCAAAATAAATCTCACTTTGCAATAAATTTTGTCAAAAAGTCTACAATCCACGTGATCAATAAAATATATTCAAGAAAGTGTAAAGAAGATTTATTGATAAAGACAAAAGAAACTACACACAATTAGCTATTGGTATTTGAATCGGTTTTTCTAGTCTGGACTTCATCAACCAGGATCAGTAGAACGCTCGGCAACAACAGTAATTTGGTCCACAATAATTTTTTTCATTACATGAAAAGTAACGATAAATTGCCTGGCCAATTTTGTCCACGTCTGTATCTGCGTTTTTGTTCACGGCTAAAGATGGCTGATGTTTGTACACATGGAATGAATCCACGCACTCCGAATGTTTTGTTCTAACAATTGAAAAAGAACACAAGTTGATTGAAAATGTTTAATCCTTGAAGCTATTTTACTTTTCATTTCAAGCTATTTCTGTTTTTGTTGTTAAGTAAACTAAAAACCAATACGAAAACACAATTGATAATTATTTTCGGCAATCGGACATAGTAAACGACCCATTCATACGGTTTATTTCTATAATGCATATATTCGTTAAGACAGTTATCACAGTCGAATACCTATCTAAAGCAAGTATGCTAATAACATAATATGATTTCAATATAAATTGCACTCACAGCAATATAATCCTTTTCTTTTGAAATATAACTACTCAGATTGTCATTCGGACATTTTTTACTTTAGATTATCCGATTTTAGTATCTGTTTAAAAATAAAAAGCCTTAAACGCAATAACTGCAGTATCAAATATATGTGTAATATTCTTTAGTGGCGAAGTTAGTGGTCGTGCTTTTCCTGCTCAGCAGGACTACAAATTATGTAAAAACGAATATAATAAAATTAAGAAATTACTAATTACATTTATAGAAGCACTTTCATATCAGCGTACAACACTATTCGTTCATTTTCAGCAGTTTTAAAAGGCACACTTTCCAAAATTTCCTCGTCATTACATATTTACTACTCAAGTCATCTATAATAAATGCTAGAAAAAAATAGTACGTTTCTATTGGATAACATTCCGGTGCGTGCTTCTTATTGGCCTTTTAATAAGCGCAAGTTCTGTCCGTTTCTATTGGTTAATATGCTGGTTGTCTTTATTTTATTATCACCGTACACGATTATGGAACTAACCAATATATTGTTCGCAATTATAAATTGGAAATATCTTTTTGATGCTGTGTATAGAAAACCGATTGTTATTGTTACACAAATATACAATGGATTCCAGTAATGTAAGAAGTAAGGACAGCATATGATTTACTCGGCAAGACAAAGACGTGCAAAATACTACAATTATAAAAGCGATCATGATCTAACTTCGTGGTATATAACGATTGAATGTTTCACAATCAAATTTAGGTCACAAATCTGAATTTTTAAACAGCTCTAATAACACTGCTTCGGAACTGGCTTCAACAAGCACACCTTCGTCGAAATGTAAAATATTAAAATCAGAAGCAGAATATAAAGATGTTTTGAGTTACAATTAAAGGGTCGCTGTAATAGCCTAAATTCCCTCTACTCCTCGACGTTATAGAGAAGGACCAAATCTTTTTCAATGGCTATATACCATACTGATATTTTTCATAGTTCATAAGCTTACCCGCCAGGAAGAGTTCCAATCAAAGATTGACAAATAGTTGCACAGCTTGCTGAAGATTTAGAACAGGTTCGACGCACTCCCATATAAGCACCTGATTTCGTTGCTATTGCTGCACAAGCACTTGTTGCCATCTCATCGAAGTAGTTTTCAAAGTATGACTTAAAACTTCCGTGAGCTGATTAGAAAAAACAACAAGCTGTCAGCTCAGTTATTGCATATGATATAGCAAATTCGCAAATGCTTGCTTTTGTCCTATGCTAACGGAATGAAATCCGTTTTCTTTTTTCACTTTAATATAAAAGTTTATTGTAATTTGTAAATGTTTTCTTTATCTACTGTACTTGCTTCAGTGAAGCTTATTTTATAAAAGCCATTAAAGGTCTTACCTGCCCCTGTTAACAGCAGAAACAAAGCAAGTCTTACGATAGTAGAACCACCATTCATAATTTCCATTTGGTTTCCTCGTCAACCTATATGAAAAATATGACTGAACTTGATTTTCTGATATAAACCTTTTCGAGAGCAAGTTTATTTTTTGTTACGCTTCTCCTTGATCATCCCAGTTCCCAAACTCAACATTATCATCGCAATAATGACAACATTCGAGTTTCTTAGAATTACCATAAGAACATTAAACGAATTTACTTAAACACAACACCTTCAATCCGACAAAAGTTCGAAAGCACGCAAAATTTGATAAAAGAATGATGTCGAAATCTTCAACAAGTGTCGTCCGTTTTCCTAATGGAAGAAATCAGGGTGTAACAAGGCTTAAATGCTTGTGAGTGATGCTTGACGGGAAGAATGTTAAGAGTTTTCGAGTGTTTTTTCCTGTTGCGCATTTGTTCTTTTGTACCCAGAAGAGTTGGTCAAGCGAGAAATCCATCCATAGAAAATGTTGGTAAGTTGTAAAACATGGAATCTGGAATTTGGAATTTGGAATCTTGGATATTGGAATCTTTTTGTGTTAAATCATGAAGTAATATTTCTATTTACAAGTTATTAAAGACGCGTTCAATTTACAATTTCAACATAGTAATTCATGTAAACGCAGTGAAGAAACGTATGTTTTGCGTACTTTTACGAAATGACAAATCTCTAGCTATCACTTTGCTTTCAAGATATGCTTTTATATTCTTCCCGTCATTAGTAAATACTTAACTCAGGTTTGAATGTTTTGAGAGATACTTATGTGTAGTCACCGAACATTTTTAATAGTTCTGTTATTGTAAGTAAATAGAACTTTACGTAATGCCTTGTATGAATAGAGTAGTTCAACCATTGTAAAATAGACGTTGAATATCAAATGTATAGTTATCTGTGATATCTCTATTTGTTGGTGCTGATCAAAACTTAACCTTGGCTTTTATGTACGTTCACGGTTGTTTGTGATAAATAATTAATCAGTATAATGACACAGATTGTAGCATGTGAAGGAAACTAACCCACAAATTCGTTCTTATAAAGTGCAGGGTGCGAATAATTTCTTTCGCATTTCTATTATGCTATTGTTGCTAATGCACCTTTTTTCCTAAGCAGATTGCATGTAAAATTAGCGAACTTACATGAATTACAATTTTGAAATTGTAAATTTAACGCGTCTTTAGAACTTGTAAATAGAAGTATTACATAGGATTTAACAAAAAAAGATTCTAAGATTCCAGATTCCATGTTTTACAACTTACCAGAAAATGTTGTTGTGATTCTTCGGACCAACGATACTAATTCCAAAACAAATGTGGAAGAAACTTCATCTCTTGTATTAAAACACAAGATTAGCAACTAATCTCTTCTAATGAAATACTTCATCAAGTACCCAAATAGTTAAATAGGTAAGCATGCATACAAGTGGGAAGCTTGTCAATTATGTGGCCACAAAATGAATAGATTATTGCGCTTCGTGCTGACTGTTCAGTCATTTGATCAAGTATATATTAAACCCTTTCTGCATTGTTGTAACTATCAGATTGTACTGTGATTATAATCACATCGTGGAGGATTGATTTCACTGAAAACAATTTTTTGCGACAATACGTGCAGTTAATGATCTATGTTACTCAAGTATTGTGCCTTGATATTGTGCTTGGCGCCACATAAAGTGTCTAAATAAAGGTCCTTTGCTGTTTGCTTTAATGCTCCGTATTTGTTAAATTCTACTGCAATTTTATTTCAATTTTATCTTTCAACGCACTGATCTTAACCATAAGATTTAATCCCTCTTGTGTATTAGCAAGAAAACAATCCCTTATAACAAATAATAAAGGTTCAAGTTATTTGAAAACATTCCCCAAGCAGATCCAGGGTCGCCAGGTTGTCTGGCCACGAAGTAGCCAAAGAGCAAATTAAAAAGGTAGCCAATTAGGCCAGAAAGAAACCAAACTCGAAATTTAGCTTAGAGACAGGGTGAAGCATTTTTCTGAGACAGGTGTCATCATTATTTTGGTAGTTTCTATCGAAATATTTAATAATTGGGCTATTTCGCCTCAAATGTAATAAAAATATGATGACAGCAGGTTCGACATACCACTTCAGGCGGAAATCTTTTACACACAATACAGTCTGTGACGAAACTTAACGCTACATTGATCAAGTATTTCGTTGTTTTGTCGATGAATACCGATTGCTACTAATGCATAACTATTTTGTCCAACAATTTATGTGTTTCACTGAAAAGAAGCAAAAGATAACAAAAAATACCATAATCAAGACATTTGACTCTTTTTACGCCAAACTGGAAACCATGGCTATCTCGCTGATTATGAAGCAAGAAGACCTCGAACAAAGAGCCTGGAGCTAGAATCAAACTTTTTCACTGTTCTACGTATTTATCTTTTGTGAAATTAGTTGATACTTTGTAAAATATTGTTAGGAACACCGTTGTAGTGATAGCCAATTAGCACACTGAAAGTTTGGAAATGTTTACTTAAAGATATCACACACTCACACGCCTCTGTCTTATTTGTTAATGGCAATTTCACTTTGATTTGTCTTACTTTAAATGTTCTAATTAAATATTTATGTTTATAACGTCATTAGTCCCCAGTCTTTAACACCCTTTCGCTACTTGTTATTAAATTGATAAAAAATATGTATGTCAGCTCTACTATCTGTTCTTCAGAACAAGCTAAGAACTAACTGCGTAACTGAATAGTTTTTAAATTGTTTATTTGGGGCCAGTTGTGCGAAAGGCGTTTAAGTCACTAACCAATATGCCAATTGCTATCCACCGTATAAATTTTAAATCGTGTTGTCCGAAGACCGGTTAACTCTATCCACCATAGGCAGAGTCGGACTAACATCGCGCAAGGCTCGCGGATGATTTTCATCGGGGGGCCTTACCACACTCCCCATTAAAACCTTGGAATTCAGACACACAATCAATCGTTTTTTACGATTTCTTGGAAAAATCTGTATTTAATTTTATCAAACTGTGTACAATAGAATTTAAACAGTACAAACTATTGCATAATTCATTTGTTTTTGTACATCGATATCCCCACCAATTGCTTGATGGCTACGGTTGGATATTGTACTGCTCATATGATGCAAGTAGAAAGCAATTTGTTGAAGCCCTATCTAACAATATACAGTTAGATCCTCAAAAAGGTATGTAAAATAGATGTTACTGAAATGAAATTATTAAAACAGGCCAAACAACGTTTTTGTAATTGTCAGATATACCATATCCCAGTTGCATACACTTATTAGCAATGGAAAAGTATCTGGTTGTGTATGCTAGAAAGTTTGGTATTGAAGCCAAAGATTTTATTGAAAAAGTAAGTGTTGTGTGTTACTCTTTCAGGATATAAAGTGTCTGAACAGCTTCGCCAAATTTTGACTTACACTTACATCCTATTTGTTTCAAGACCCTTGTCAAAGATGTGAGAAGTTGTTGCATATTAATCTGACATTGCATGTAGTGAATGTCTCAAATTTGTATTTGGCATATTTTTTCAATGTAAAGTTCTTCATGTGATATGGGAGGAAATGTCTTCATCCTTAAATATCGGTTTATTGTACATTTCAAACCCTTGTGAAGTCATCCTTCTGTGTTTTTACAAGACCCTTGGTCGACATTGTTTTTTATTACATGTGGATGTTAACCAGCACAGCTTTACAAAAAAATATTGTTAAAACTTGTGAATGATTATTTACACAATATATTTATCTCATCAAATTTCTTTTATGAATGCAGAATCCACATCCATGATGCAGTCTGTTTTCAGTGATCATTCCTACCATGAGATACCTGAAGAAGTATATTTTGTTATGTGAAAATAGCTTTTTTGTACAAACACAAGTATAGTTTCTCAACCTTCTAATACCCCACAATTTGTTACCATACATCCTGTGCCTAAGTTAAGGAGCTTCTATAAAGCTATTAGGGTGATAACCAACAGGGCAAATTGAAGAGGATGAAATGGATTCTCCATTGGCACTTTTTAAGTTTTCCTTTGGAATTACACCAGAGATGCGAGACTATTTTGAATTGGCTACACTTAGCAAAGAAAAGGTTTCTTTATTTGAAACAGGTATGCAAGATAATCTGCAATGGTGAACATCCATTTAGCTTTACATGTACTATTTCCTTTATCGGTATGGTATTTAGCACTTTCTAGCATTTTGTAAATATTACAATTTAATTATTTTAGGCAATGAGAATGATGCAAGCGATTTTACTAATCTTCCTGAAAAAATGGTCATAAAATTTTGGCACCATCTGAAAGTGGTATTTGTTCTTGTGATGCAGAGTGGGATAAACATTCTATTCAAGATGAATGGTTGTACGTAGACTTGTGTTCAGTTGCATACTTTTAATCAATCCATGATGTGAAGGGTAAGTTCTGATTTGTTATAGGTTACGCTTCACTTCATTATTATTTGACTTAAATAAATTATTTAGTGTATTGTAGACCTTGCTCTTCTTGTGCTACGAAAAAGCATTATGATGGATGTGTTTTTGTCATGTATATAAATATGCACTTGGATTTTTGTTAATATTGTAAACTCTATGTACCTTGTTGGATTATATACATAGTTGAAAAAATCTGTAAAGGATGAATTCTTGAGTCAGTTTTATTATTCTCATTTCACTTAGAGTTATATAATATGAACTTTAATAATAGGTGTCTCCCCTCTGTAGGTTACACCACTTTCTTAAGTAAAGTGCTCTTGTTCACTTGTTCATCATGAGTTTTTTTTCATTAATTTCCAGCAAGTTGGTGTTCTTGGTCTTCTGGATGAGGAATGTTGGTTCCCCAAGGCGTCCGACAAGAGTTTTGTTGAAAAACTAGAAAAAGAGTTATCCCAAAATCCCAAATTGAAAAAACCAGATTTCAGATCCAATGCAGAATTTTGTATCATTCACTATGCAGGCATGGTATGTGTTCAACTGGAATTAATATAGATTTTAACCATTTGTGTAGGATTGTAACCAATCACTCCATTCATATATACCACGTTGTCACCATTCATATACATAGATTGTATGTAGCAATCACCATCTGATCCTAACTATCACAATCTGATTGTAACTATCTGACCATCACCATTCATGCTTTGCCATCACCGTTTATGCTACCATTACAATTCATACTTGACTTTTATCATTCATACTTTGCAACTAATTGCTACTTTTGATGCACAATAGTGGCTTTTTTTATTTGATTGTTACCAATTCATCCCTTACTTTAACATTTCGTAACCACAGGTGGATTATAATGCTGAAAAATGGTTGATGAAGAACATGGATCCTTTAAATGATAACATCGTTACTTTGTTTCAAAATTCAAGTGATTCTTTTGTCTCTTCATTGTGGAAGGACACAGGTGACCTAAGAACGCTGAAATTGCCTCTTTAGTTGAAATATGGCAGTAATTGTTAAGGTATATTTGTTCTTTTCACACAGAAAACATTGTGAGTCTGGGTGCAACTGGAGGTTCTGACTCACCATTTGGATCAAAAGTCCGAAAAGGAATGTTTAGGACTGTCGGTCAATTATACAAGGTACGTACGTACATAATACGTGTGCAGATAGTACGTAATTTTCGTGGTTTGTGTCAGCGGAATCTCTTGTATTTTAACTATTTTTATTCGTATTATATAGGAACAACTTACCAAACTCATGAATGTATTGTCGAACACCAACGCAAATTTCGTCCGTTGTATTATTCCTAACCACGAGAAACGGGTACGTATGTGCTGATTATTTCACAAATTGAAATTTGGTTTATAGGAAATATTGATGCGATTCAGACATAACTGCATGAAAACTTTAGTGTAAGCTCACTTGTAGCTAAGAAAAGATCAATTACGAAACGCGGATATCATCCTATACAATGTTGTCTTTCAATGTCTTATACACGTTTTTTCTGGATGTAATGAAAGTTTTCAATTCCTTAAGTCTACAGCCTTTAATTGTAGGTGAAATTTTTCGTTGCAGGCAGGTAAGATTGACTCTCACCTGGTGTTGGATCAATTGAAATGTAACGGTGTCCTCGAAGGAATTCGTATTTGTCGTCAAGGTTTCCCAAACAGAATTGCTTTCCAAGAATTCAAACAACGGTGATTATTTTTTAACAGAAATAACCTTTTCACAAAAAATGAGCTTTTACGTCTTGTTTCATTTGCAAGCGAATTTTCCTTCTTTTTTTTTTACCCAGAAGATATTTTAGGACTCGCTCAAAGCAGTTTAAAATATTTTCTAATATACTTTTGTTTTTCACAGTTATGAAATCCTTACTCCCAACTTGATTCCTGAGGGATTTATGGATGGTAGAAAAGCTGCCCAACAAATGGTAATTATTAACCTGTATAAGTACATACGTTTAATCCATTATACAATGTATTACGAGCTGCCATGATCATAGAAAACTCGTGTATTGAGATGTTTTTATATGTTCAACTGCTGTATTTAAACGCCATGACGTCGCCTTAACTTTTTCTGCAAAGTTATTTTTGAAGTATTTACTAAACTTTGGATTTCTGAAAAAACTACCAAGTTTTTTTCTTTGGCTAAATCTTGCAGTCATCATAGTGTTAACTAAAGTCGTCCATAGCATTAAAAGAGATAGGAACTTCACTGTCGGCGACATGATAATATTTATAATCATAATTATCGTCAATGTGTCGTATCAACAATTGTCCAATTTATTACTGCGAGCATTGATAGGGTATTTATGATGCTAATGTGTACGATGACGATGATATGAGTGAGGTTGAATAAAACATGTTACCTCATGCCTAAATACAAACATGTTACCTCATCGTATCATGATTATATTTTGGGACCAAGATGCATTGCGCGCTTTTGTTCATGTTTAAATTTCGAGCTTGTAGTCCACTTAATTCAATTTCGTCACCACATTGTGTAATTTATGAGAAACGTTAGCAGAAAAAAACAATGATTAAAACTCGGTTTTACATCATTAGGATACCGCAATTGATAATCATATTTACGTACCCATGACTGCATTACTTTTAATAAACTACGATAAGGTTTATTGCAATTATAAAACCCGATAATTTTCCTTTTGTCAATAGTTGGACTTTCTTGAACTGGATAAAAACAGCTATCGCGTTGGTCAATCGAAGATATTTTTCCGCGCGGGAGTTCTCGCTAAGCTCGAGGAGGATCGTGACACGAAGTTGACCGAGATCATTACGATATTCCAAGCATTCTGTCGTGGTAACCTGGCCCGTAAGAACTACGAAAAACGAACTCAGCAGTTGAACGCTATCAGAGTACTACAGAAGAATTGCTTGAATTACCTGAAGTTTCGTAACTGGCCTTGGTGGCGTCTATTTACTAAGGTAAGTATTTATTTCCCTCTGGCGTATTGTCAATAGATACATTTTATCTAGTGTCGAATTAATGAAGTTTATAATCTAAGAACAAGGATTATGAATGATCTGGACTCCAGAATGTCTTACCTAGGATTGGCATTTTGAGATCTGAAATTTTAATGTGATTGTGATATCTGGATTTATGAATCTATGTCTGGATGAGTCATCAATGATAAATTGATAGATTTTGTTTATATGGGTGAATTGGTGGTATTAAGTTAGCTAAAATAAATATGATCATTGTTAAGAGAAATTGATTTGAAAATGTCTCCATATCTCATATCTGCCAAATCTGTGCAATCCTATGTCAACATTTTCCATACATGTTTCATACATACACTGCGTGTCTGTATCATACACAGACAAAAATTACGGTGGTTTTCAATCTTGATTTTGCTCCATGCTTGTCGCACTCTATAGATAAAGTGCGAAAGAAACTAAAGAAACTTGTCTTGTTTAAGCATCAGTAGTACTTGAAAAATGAAGTTACATCAAAAATAAAATGTCAACAATCACTCAACATAAAGAAAGAATGATAAAAAAAGTAACTCACCTCATTTCTAAAGAATTCAGACGTATACTAGATCATAACTGCCTCAGAAATTGGAAAGCGAGCAGTGAACTATCTTACATTGGCAACGATGGGACAAAATACATTCTCGCATGTACAACTTTTCAATCAAGACTAACGTCGATGTTTTACAGCTATAGGAATCATTTTGATGTCAAATCGATTCGCATAACCTGTTTTATCCATGACTAATACTTGAAGTTAGTAAGGAGTCGCGAAAGGTCTTAAATATTGGAAAATCCATGTTTGTAAACGCTATCCGCCATATTACGGATTGAAATACACGAAAGAGTTTGCACATGAGGAAATCACTTTTAGAGAGTTATTATTGAGACTTCGCAAAGGCAAATAAACACTTGATTATTGGAAATTGCTTCTTTCCCGTCAACATTTAAAATTCTCAAATATACAAGTATTCAGAGATACTACTAGACTTTTCTATAGCAATATGCAAGTTGCCAGTTACAAACAAGACCAACTAACAAAGCTTGAGAATCCAATTGCACGAATTAACGCTCTCTATTTGTCAGAAATAGCAAAAAATTGTTTTGATGACATTTAGGCTTAGAACCTGTTGTTTTTCTGGCTAAAAGTGCAAAATCCTTAAATGTTTCATTGCTGTATACAACTGAATATTCATGTAAAATGTGAGATATTCAATTTTATTAATTAATTAATAATTTGATTTATTTTAAAATCTAAGTTTTCAATTTTTGCGAGGATAGTTTTTATGCCTCCCCAACAGTTAATTCTATTTGACACATACATCACTAAGGTTAAGAAATATAAGGCCATAAGCATAATTGAGGCATTCTTGAATATCCAAACAACCGAAACTTCGACTTAGTTGGCGCAGAATATCAAAACTCATAGTGTAAGAAGCTATTGTAGATATAATATGTAAAAATATCATTGATTTTGACATGCTCTTTTTCTACTATGTTCCATTTGCAGCGATGTTACAGTCATTGCGCAACAAAATTATGGCTAGGGTGTCGATCCAGGTCTCATGGTGTCACTCGCACAAAATGCTTGAGCTGTGATTGGCTTCACCATAGATATTATAAATAAAACTTATTATTTATAAAAACGTATTATATATTTAAACGTATTATTTATAACCTCTATGGGTTTCACACCACTTGACACTCTTTCCACGATGTCAGAAGATGGCAAATTGCGCAATATTCCAACCGCCGACCATGTCAACAATGCTCTATTTCAAAATCGCAGGCTCGCTAACGGGTAATTACGATGTCAACTTCAAAGAAATGCCATTAAATCCATAAATCGTTCAAAATTTCATACGTCATAATTTGTTATTGATAATGTATCATGTAGCGCCTCGTCGACATTATTATTTTGTTTATTTATGACAAAATTTATTCGTGTTTTATGACGATTGTGTAGAAACAATGCTGTGTAAAGTAAGAACATATAAATTTATCTACGTTTAAATAAAATGTTAGAGTTTTTATATTATTTAAGTTCTTTGATATATTTGATCTCTGTAATGCGATATTTGACAATTTATAAAATCCTAACAGTGTCATTAAACACACTTGACACCCTCCTGGATCCGCCCTTGGTTGGCACAATGGAGGTCACACAATTCAAAGCAACACGGCACAGCGATTAAAATCAGTTGAATGTACCTTAAACTTTTATACATTTTCATCATGTATACTGAAGTTTTAAACGTGGTTAACACTTGCTCTTTTTCATTCGGTTCCTCTTAAGTATTCGTGAAGACAAGTTGGCATTATAATTTTCAAAGGAATTCAACAATGTTGCCTGTAAAAGTTTTTCGCGTTTTCGTGTTTCTCAAGCATTAATTAATCCCAAAATATTGTTTCCCGGTCCAAGAAAATAATTTAAGGTACTCCAAAATTGTAAAACTTCAAGACATATCAAAGAGAATGTTTGACTTTTTTGAATTTTTTTCAGCTTCCAGGAAATATATTACCTTATAGACTTATATATTATTTCAAGTTGGCGAAGCTACAATTAAAAACAAAAAATTACAATTGGTAATCTTAGATACATATTACGGATGTAAGAAGTAAAGAGAAAAATTAAATTTGTCATAAGCGGCAAAAACGTTTTCCTTTTCTTTGTGATCGAAGAAAGAAAAATATATTTTCCACACCTGGATTGTGTCTTGCTCTTCTTCATTATCCTCTTCATCAACTGCAACATCCTTAAGGGTTATTTTAAACTGCTTTGGCCAATCGCCAATGTCGGAAAAATCAATCGTCCTGAGCTTCAAAGTTGGCTCTGGAGGCTGCATTTTTTGCAGAAATAATCTTTTCAAAATTTAATGAAGATCGTAAAAATACTTGTTTTATAGCTATGAGCATGTAATACAAATTCCCGCGCCTCATGTTTGTAAGATAAATGTGCCGTTATATTTTTTATTTATGACCAAACTAGAATTCAAATGCATAAGTAAGGTAGTAAAAACAGAATCGCTCAACGGAAACAGCATATCTCACTTGAATAACATGCAGCTTGCGTAACATTCAAGTTATTTGACTCAAGTTATTCTCGATTGCTTTCAATTTTGAATTACGCGTTGGGTTTCTTATCACATAAAAATACCAAAATAAATCTCACTTTGCAATAAATTTTGTCAAAAAGTCTACAATCCACGTGATCAATAAGATATATTCAAGAAAGTGTAAAGAAGATTTATTGATAAAGACAAAAGAAACTACACACAATTAGCTATTGGTATTTGAATCGGTTTTTCTAGTCTGGACTTCATCAACCAGGATCAGTAGAACGCTCGGCAACAACAGTAATTTGGTCCACAATAATTTTTTTCATTACATGAAAAGTAACAATAAATTGCCTGGCCAATTTTGTCCACGTCTGTATCTGCGTTTTTGTTCACGGCTAAAGATGGCTGATGTTTGTACACATGGAATGAATCCACGCACTCCGAATGTTTTGTTCTAACATTTGGTTAATATGCTGGTTGTGTTTATTTTATTATCACCGTACACGATTATGGAACTAACCAATATATTGTTCGCAATTATAAATTGGAAATATCTTTTTGATGCTGTGTATAGAAAACCGATTGTTATTGTTACACAAATATACAATGGATTCCAGTAATGTAAGAAGTAAGGACAGCATATGATTTACTCGGCAAGACAAAGACGTGCAAAATACTACAATTATAAAAGCGATCATGATCTAACTTCGTGGTATATAAAGATTGAATGTTTCACAATCAAATTGAGGTCACAAATCTGAATTTTTAAACAGCTCTAATAACACTGCTTCGGAACTGCCTTCAACAAGCACACCTTCGTCGAAATGTAAAATATTAAAATCAGAAGCAGAATATAAAGATGTTTTGAGTTACAATTAAAGGGTCGCTGTAATAGCCTAAATTCCCTCTACTCCTCGACGTTATAGAGAAGGACCAAATCTTTTTCAATGGCTATATACCATACTGATATTTTTCATAGTTCATAAGCTTACCCGCCAGGAAGAGTTGCAATCAAAGATTGACAAATGGTTGCACAGCTTGCTGAAGATTTAGAACAGGTTCGACGCACTCCCATATAAGCACCTGATTTCGTTGCTATTCCTGCACAAGCACTTGTTGCCATCTCATCGAAGTAGTTTTCAAAGTATGACTTAAAACTTCCGTGAGCTGATTAGAAAAAACAACAAGCTGTCAGCTCAGTTATTGCATATGATATAGCAAATTCGCAAATGCTTGCTTTTGTCCTATGCTAACGGAATGAAATCCGTTTTCTTTTTTCACTTTAATATAAAAGTTTATTGTAATTTGTAAATGTTTTCTTTATCTACTGTACTTGCTTCAGTGAAGCTTATTTTATAAAAGCCATTAAAGGTCTTACCTGCCCCTGTTAACAGCAGAAACAAAGCAAGTCTTACGATAGTAGAACCACCATTCATAATTTCCATTTGGTTTCCTCGTCAACCTATATGAAAAATATGACTGAACTTGATTTTCTGATATAAATCTTTTCGAGAGCAAGTTTATTTTTTGTTACGCTTCTCCTTGATCATCCCAGTTCCCTAACTCAACATTATCATCGCAATAATGACAACATTCGAGTTTCTTAGAATTACCATAAGAACATTAAACGAATTTACTTAAACACAACACCTTCAATCCGACAAAAGTTCGAAAGCACGCAAAATTTGATAAAAGAATGATGTCGAAATCTTCCACAAGTGTCGTCCGTTTTCCTAATGGAAGAAATCAGGGTGTAACAAGGCTTTAATGATTGTGAGTGATGCTTGACGGGAAGAATGTTTTCGAGTGTTTTTTCCTGTTGCGTATTTGTTCTTTTGTACCCAGAAGAGTTGGTCAAGCGAGAAACCATCCATAGAAAATGTTGGTAAGTTGTAAAACATGGAATCTGGAATTTGGAAACTTGGATATTGGAATCTTTTTGTGTTAAATCATGAAGTAATATTTCTATTTACAAGTTATTAAAGACGCGTTCAATTTACAATTTCAACATAGTAATTCATGTAAACGCAGTGAAGAAACGTATGTTTTGCGTACTTTTACGAAATGACAAATCTCTAGCTATCACTTTGCTTTCAAGATATGCTTTTATATTCTTCCCGTCATTAGTAAATACTTAACTCAGGTTTGAGTGTTTTGAGAGATACTTATGTGTAATCACAGCAACATTTTTAATAGTTCTGTTATTGTAAGTAAATAGAACTTTACGTAATGACTTGTATAAATAGAGTAGTTCAACCATTGTAAAATAGACGTTGAATATCAAATGTATAGTTATCTGTGATATCTCTATTTGTTGGTGCTGATCAAAACTTAACCTTGGTAACATATGAGTGAAAATATGTAGATGAAAACCGGCGACTGCATGTCAAATGAGAGGAGATAATCATGAGATATAATATGCAACTCGATATGCAATACCTTCTAGTGTTTTATTGTCAGACTTAACTACGCCAGAAAGGGCAAAAGGCATTTAGTTCTATATGGCATTTTTAAAAATGATAATTTCAACGGGCACTTATTTATGAGATGTTATATTCACGGGTATATGGAGTTTGTTTTTCTTGACAGAGACTACGGCTTTTATGTACGTTCACGGTTGTTTGTGATAAATAATTAATCAGTATAATGACACAGATTGTAGCATGTGAAGGAAACTAACCCACAAATTCGTTCTTATAAAGTGCAGGGTGCGAATAATTTCTTTCGCATTTCTATTATGCTATTTTTGCTAATGCACCTTTTTTCCTAAGCAGATTGCATGTAAAATTAGCGAACTTACATGAATTACTATTTTGAAATTGTAAATTTAACGCGTCTTTAGAACTTGTAACTAGAAGTATTACATAGGATTTAACAAAAAAAGATTCTAAGATTCCAGATTCCATGTTTTACAACTTACCAGAAAATGTTGTTGCGATTCTTCGGACCAACGATACTAATTCCAAAACAAATGTGGAAGAAACTTCATCTCTTGTATTAAAACACAAGATTAGCAACTAGTCTCTTCTAATCAAATACTTCATCAAGTACCCAAATAGTTAAATAGGTAAGCATGCATACAAGTGGGAAGCTTGTCAATTATGTGGCCACAAAATGAATAGATTATTGCGCTTCGTGCTGACTGTTCAGTCATTTGATCAAGTATATATTAAACCCTTTCTGCATTGTTGTAACTATCAGATTGTACTGTGATTATAATCACATCGTGGAGGATTGATTTCACTGAAAACAATTTTTTGCGACAATGTGATATTTGAGCATACATCATGACGTTACCTGACACGAGGTTGCTTAGAATACCTAAGTCTCAAGAAGTCAGCTGTTGCTTAGCAAAGCTTTCAGCGCGCGATACTAGAGCTTTTCTAGCTTCAGAAGTCCCAACCAGCTCATTAAGGTTAGATCTCGCTTCTTTCGTTAAAGCAGTGCGAGCACTTTTTGCGCGCGTTTTTGCAGTACTAATACCAGCTTCGTCCCTAGCACGAGTCACTGCAGATGCACGTGATTTAGCTTTTCTTGCCACTCATTTAACGTCTCCGCGGGCGAGATCGGCAACAAGACTGCTTACGTTTTCAGGCGAGAACTGCTCTTTTGAAGTCGATATAACAGCCTCTTTGGCTGCTGTAGCCGTGTCACGAATTGCTTTTTTACCAGCCGCCACGGTCACATTCTTGATTTTTGGAGCAAACGTTCCTACGCGAGATCCTAAGGCTGCACCTGCGAACTTCCCCGCACTGAATAGCGCACCCTTTGCCTTACCAGCAAGGCCCATGAGGTTTCCAATCAACGAACCCCCCGACAATTTTTCGACGAACTATACCACGTCTAATCATAGCAACTATCATTTTTCCTAGTATATTATACATGGAAAATAAGCCATTATGGCAACAGCTTCTGAATCGGAATCCGCTTATGAGCGTGTATAATCACATTTTTTGACGGATGTTTAAAGTGTAAGTTACTTGTTCACCATTTAAATCAATCTTATTTCCTGACTGATCAATGATTTCCATTCTCACTTTATTAATAAGGCTAGTTTTTATAAGTGGTAAATAGGTCGGTGGACTAGGACTTATTTCCAACAAACGTCCTGGTCCTCGGTTTGGAGTAAACGATTTAATAACATCACTAGGATTCCCGTTTACTATACTTGAATTAACAAGCGAGCAGTGAATATGGATCTTCTGTACATCTGTAATGTTAATTTGATTCTGACTTAAAGTCTTTCCTCTAGTAATATCACCTCCACCCACAGCAAACCCAAGAATAGGGCCTAAGCTGTTATCTATGTCAAAGGAAGCTACAAGGTTACCTTTAATAGTAATCGCAGATTTTGATGTAGGAATAAGCACAAAGGGTGGATCACGTCTTGCAGTTTCATCTTCATGTGTGAACTTTACCCCCAATGCTTCCATAGCATTTTCAATAGCTTGATTGATATCGGGAATGTTGTAAGCGCCCGGGGGTATTGTGATTTTTTGCCGTTGAATTGGAGTTTGTTTAATCTATCCACTCTGTGCACCATCAGCATCACCATAGTTTCCATTTCTAATCTCAAACTTAAGTTGATTGTTTTTAGTAGTGACATTTTCCCACGAATGCACAACTAGCTTCAGTAAGAGCCACTTGATATTTTTTGTTAGGCCCGGTTCAAACGTCGCATTTTACATGCGCCGAATCAAATCTGAGTTTTAGTCGACTAAAATAGTTTTATGCGGTAGTTTGATTCAGACGTCGAATTTAATAGTCGCATTTATTATAGTTATGCTTCCACTTTTTCATAGTTTATTCATTTTCTTGTACTAATTTCCTAAAATGGCGAACAGAAAAATGTTGAGTTTATGCATTTCAAATATGATTCGTGTTAATAGGAAAAGACGAATATTGATGCATGTTACAGCAAATAAACTATTAGAAACGAGACGGCAGCTTCTGCAAATTTCCCATGTTTTTCTACCGTTAATTGGTCAAAAAAAAGCCTTCATACGTAGCCCTCCTTATCGATCATGTCGAAGACAAGATAGAAATTCCGGCTGGTGGAAGAAAGTTTGGAGTATTTATTCTGATTCAAAAAAACATTTCGTGTATCTCGAGGAAACTTTCCTTGTAAATATAAATTTTTTGCACTTTAAACAAGTGTATTTTGTTAAACTTGTGCACGAAATACAAGGGCCATTACCATCACTCGCCGCCGCCATGTTTTTACAACTTTGCGCATGGCATTTAGCATGGAAATAATTAATTTTTGCTTAGAAATATCTTAAAATAAATTATGCATTAAATTCGGCTCATGTAAAATGCGACGTTTGAATCAACATCGAAGTTCCGTCGAATATTCGACTAACTCAGTCGAATATGCGACTAAAGTCGCATTAAATTAAAATCCGTCGAATTTAATTGATTCAAACGTCGCATTTTACATGCACATAATTCTCGCATTTGATTCGGCGCATGTAAAATGCGACGTTTGAACCGGGCCTTAGCCTCTAAAGGTAGCCTAAAGCCAATATGAAAGTCATTCGCTTCTCCACCGTGCGCCGCAATGGCTCTTGTTGAGTCGATCTCAATGCTAATTTCGTCTTCTAATACTCCAGCCATTATGGTTAAATTGATAACACTTAACGTAACATCAGACTGAGCAATAGCTTTGTATAATATAGGAGCAGAAATTTGAACGGACGTATGTATTTCTAATTTTTCGGTAATAACTTTTCGATATCGCACTTTCGTCTAGTAGTTTTCTTAGAATCGCTGCAATATCGTTCTTCAACTCACGAGAGTCATTACCAGCCTCTACAGACTTGCAGGAAAGGTGAAGGCGGTCGATAAGCTCTGATGGGCTATTATAATAGTGCACTCCAGTTCCTGTTCGTGTTGTTTTAAAGAGTTGTTTGGGGCGACTTCTTTTTTCTTTTAGAACATTGTATCGTTGGAGGTTTTTTTACCTAGCTCTCGGTTAGCTGGAGAAGCGGTTTTTCTTGTAGACGGGCCGATAGATTTTCCAAGATTTTCAAAATCTACGTCGTTTATATACTCACCAGCCTCCAACCGATCAAGCGAATTTGAATTCTCTATAGCCTTCCGAGATGGTTTGTCTTTTGTTAAAAGGACTAGATCATCTAGCCGTTGGGCAAGCTGCTGTTGAGTTTTCTCAACCGCTTGAGTGACTTCTTTCAACCCTTCAATTTCTTCGTCTTGTTTTTTGTTAATAGCTTCTGCTACAGATTTTTCAGCATTAACAATTGGTTCTGACGCCTTATCAAAAATTCTCCTTCGTGCTGTCGAGACACTTTGAAATCGACTTGGCGCCGCTTGAGTTCCGCGCGGTTTTTTACAAACTCTTGGACTAATTTTTCGTGCTCTTCCATAGATGCAACTGACCTGAACATACTTGAACTTAAATCTCAAGATAGATGAAGATAGATAAATGTTTTTTATCTTACTATATAATAAGAAAAAAAAAGGACGACCCATATGGTGTAATGAAAAATTATAATCTACCTGAAATACAGTCGGTGCTAGCATCTATTGATTCACAATCTCAAGATAATAAACCGCATTTTACCCTGTCAGCGCCTGTTATTAATACAGAAGAACCGGATGAAGAGTCACGTGATACAGAAAAATCGTCTATAGATCATCGCGAGAAGTCACGTGACTCTCATTTTAATAAGGTAAGAACGTATATGTATAAAATCTAATGCGGCCTGGATGCTGGAAAAGTCAGTGCAGCAGACAGCCGGTCCCAAGCCCGGATAAACACAGAGGGTGGATGTCAGGAAGAGCATCCGATCCTTAAAAGAGTATGCCACATGATAATATGCCGGAGACAATCAGAAGAGAAGACAATGCTAGGGCATACCCCGTAAGCGATGCGCAGCGGCACTACTGTCTTGACTCTGTGAAAAGAATGCAAGCGAGACAGAAGAGACAGAAGAACTTGAGAGTCGCGACCCAAAACATCGGGACGCTGACTTTTCCCTGCTCATCCTTTTGTCAAGGATGAGCAGGGAAAGATCGTGAGCGAAGATGAGAAAATCAAAGAGCGATGGAGGGAATATTTTGATAGACTTTTAAACACGAAGAACAACAGGAAAGAACTGGACCATCTTGAACCAGTCCATGGGCCAGTACCAGAGATTACGGAAGATGAAGTGAGAAGACAACTCAAGAAGATGAATAACAATAAAGCAAGAGGACCGGATGAGCTCCCCATCGAACTAGTGAAGAAATTGGGAAACACAGGAACAGAGTGGATGACATCATGCTGCAGAGAAATAATGAAGAGAGGAATACCAGAAGAATGGAGAACAAGCAGAATAGTGCCCCTTTACAAACAGAAAGGTGATCTCCTAAGCTGTGGAAACTATCGAGGCATTAAACTCCTCTGCCACTCACTGAAATTATTTGAGAGAGTGATAGAGGCGAGACTGAGAGAAATAGTGAAGATAAAGGACAACCAATGTGGATTCCAACGCGGAAAATCAACCACTGAGCCGATGTTCTGTCTGCGGATGCTGTAAGAGAAGTATAGAGAATTCAACAAAGAGCTACATATGGTTTTCGTGGACCTTGAAAAGGCATATGATACAATCCCGAGGGAGTTACTATGGTACTGTCTAAGGAAGCGTCAAGTCCCGGAGGCCTATATTGAAAACATCAAAGATATGTATAAGCGCTCTACCACTAGTGTCGCAACGAACGTTGGTGAGACTGAGAAATTTCAAGTAGAGGTCGGGTTACATCAAGACTCGGCACTAAGCCCCCTACTCTTTATAATCATTTTGGATGTAATCTCGGATGACACGACAGAGGACACACCTTGGAGTATGCTGTTTGCAGATGACTTGGTCTTGTGTGATGAGAAGAGAGAACATCTGGAAGGAAGACTAGAAGATTGGAGAAGAATATTAGAAGATGTTAGCTTGAAAGTTATTAGAGCCAAGACAGAGTACCTCCCACCGAGTGGCTGCATAGGAAAAATCATGCTAAGAGAATATGCTGGACCCGGAAATACAGATCTACCAAAGTGCGAGACATTTAAGTACCTCGGGACCACCATCAATCAGGATGGCGGTTGCAAGACTGAGGTTGAACTACGGATTAGCCGGGCATGGAATAAATGGAGGGAGTTAACGGGAATGCTCTGTGATAAGAAGATGCCGAAGAAGCTGAAGATCTTCATCTACAAAACGTTGATACGCCCAGTGCTTCTGTATGGGAATGAAACATGGCCTGTTACAGACTACCTAGCAGAGAAGATCAGTGTATGAGAGATGAGAATGATACGCTATTGTCTTGGAGTCAGCCTGGAGGAGCACAGAACAAATGAAAGCATAAGAGAAGAAGCGAATGTCATGAGTATACTGAATTTGATGAGAAGAAAAAGACTGCAGTGGTTCGGACATGTGTGCCGGCGTGAAGAAGATGTAGACATTCTTAGAGTTTATGAGATGCAAGTGGAGGGGAGACGGAAACGAGGACGCCCAAAGCATCGGTGGAAGGATACCATCAGGAGAGACATGCAGCTAACATGCAGCTATGTGGTGTCAAAGAAGAGGATACCCAGGACAGAGCAGCCTGGAGAAGTCTGATAGAACTGGGTCTCCGGCAAAGACCCGCTACCCGAGCAGGACAAAGCGGAGAAAGGAGACCGTATATGTATAAAATCTGCTCTATACACAAAATTCCATTCAACGAAATTCAATTCAACCATGTAAGCCGTATAGCGGCTGATATGTCTTGGTCTACTGGAAAGCCTTTAAATTACCCCTCCTTCATGGCAAATTTCGTTCCGATTTGTCAAAAATACGACGCCTCGGGTTGGCCTGCTGAAACTGTCGAAGCTATAATGCAGGCGGTTACTCCTCATCTTCCAAAATATTAGAGAGCCAACAAGAATAAGTCTAATGATGTCTTCAAAGAATGAATTACCGCTTATAGGTACCTAATTACGCTTATAGATAGGGAATAGGTACCTCCTCTGCAGTACGATCGATTACAAAGTAGTCGTACTTCTTTTCAGTGCCACTAGCTGCTCTTTTGTAATACCATCAGGTCAGTAGCGATTTCTCTCACGTCACGCTGGTCAAGACCTCTCATAAGCACAATACAGCCGGTATTTCGTCGAATATACTTGGGGACGTCATAGTAGCTTTGCGCTAAGTATATGGCTGTGACATTCTTATGTCGACTTGCTGAGAAATACTCTTTGATTGGGTTTAAGCTTTTTGAATCGAGCCGAATATCGTCAAAGACTACTGTCTCGGGATTAGTGTCCAACTTCTCTACTGGAATTACATCATCAGGCTCTCTTAATTCAACACATTCTTCCAGGCAGATGCTTTCGTAGAACTCTGATAGAATCTGATATTTTTCCTGGTCGCGACTTGTTGTGTAAATAGTTAATTTAGGGCAATCAAGCCAACGCATAATCATGTTAATTAAAAGGTTCGTTTTACCGGAATTAGTAGGGCCTACGATCAGATAATGGCTTTTGAGCATAATCCAATGGTGGCGCTTTGATTTTTTAGCGGTCGGTAAGTCGAAATTTATGAGTGCCATATCATATCATATCATATCATATCACATCAGACTAATCATCAGACTAATTATCATATAATAACAGACCAATTTTTCTGCATCTATATAGTGCTGCCATAAAAATGGCAACTGCAAGCGCACCTCCAGTCGAACGATTATGCGACGATTATGATGACTGTTGGTGATATTACGTCACGTGCTCTCAGTGACAGCTGAGTCTCAAATGAAGAGTTTGAACAGGTTCTAGATCAAATGCGGCGTTTTAACGAGTGTAAACGCGTTATTAAAGATGAATTCAACGATCCGTAAGAAACAGACTGTTGACGTAGCTTCTCTACTCAAAGAGATGAAAAAGACAATAAAAACTTAGAGCGTGAAAAAGAAGAAGCTGTTGCCGCCGCTGCTGAAAGCGCACGCCGTGAAGGTGAAGCTCAAGCTTTCAAAAAAATCGCGCGTCTGGCTGGAGGCTGGTCATGGATTTCTCTCGCGATCAAATATAAATCCAGTAATTAAAAAAAATTCTATTATATATAGTAGGTATATAAACGTCGCATCAAACTAAACATCGCGTCAAAATAAACATCGCATCAACCTAATGGCAACATTAGTAATCGGTGGAACTGATGGTGGTTATGGATCTGGAAAACCAGGACCACCAAGGCCTAGAGGCCCAAGAGGAGCTAAGGGAGATAAAGGTGACACAGGAGCTTCGGGGGCTCAAGAAGATACGGTTCCTAAAAGATCAAAGAGAGAAAAAGGTGATACAGGAGCTACAGGGGCTACAGGGGCTCAAGGACATACGGGTTTTAGAGGACCAAAGGGAAGGAAAGGTGATGATGGTCCTAGAGGAGATGACGGAACTGATGGGACCAATGGAAGCGATGGTGCGCCCGGGGCCACAGGAGCTCGAGGGCCTCAAGGACCTCAAGGACCTCAGGGACCTCAAGGACCTGAAAGGGCAATAAGGCATTAGAGGTCTAACAGGACCTAGAGGAGTGCCGGGGTCTACAGGAGCCGCAGGACCTCAAGGGCCTTAAGGGCCTAAAGGAGATACTTGAGCCACAGGGCCTCGAGGGCCTTCAGAACGTCAAGGACCTCAAGGGCAACCAGGAGCTGATGGGCTTAAAGGAGACCAAGGAGATCAACCTGTTTTAAACTCTCCTACTGGATTCTACCTCCCAGGTATGAGCGGAATAAATATAACCTTAGTAACGTTTCCTACTGGGAAAACACTCAAAAATAAAAAAAATAGCATTATTAAACATTTGGTTTGAACGGTCTCAACACGAGTGTTTTAATATTAGATCCACCGTATTTCAACAAAATTGGGGACCCTAAGTTTGTTTCCTACATAACAACACTAATAATCTTAAAGCGTGGGTTAATACAATACCTGTTAACTGGACGTGAAAATATCAAGTACATTATTTAGAATATTCTTAATAGTACATATATTTTATAATATATGTAGAATCACAATGTCTAACGCATCTGAGACTTCGGTTCATGAATTTGAAACAGCAAACGATCTCTTTCGCCGAGCAGTAGAAGTATATTTACGACAAAATAGAGAGAGAAATTTTGAAAAAATCCAACTAGAATATAGTTCTAATGCTGAAAAAATAGTCATATTTTTTGGAACTATTCAGACGTAGATAAACCTACGCGTGAGGCTCTCAAAGCTTTGCTACGTCCTGCAAAAAGACACCACGCCCGTGGTGTAAAACATCATAGAAGACGTGAAAAACATAAAAAACGACTAGAAATTCCAGTAGATGTGTACACTCAAGTTGGTACTTCAATCACTGGAAAAAGAAGTTCAGATTGGACCAATGTTGCGATGTGTGAAAAAGGTAAAGGAGATTTTTCTACAATCACCATCGAAACTGCTGGATTCTACCGAATATCATTAAGTGGAAAATGTTTTACAAGTGCAGGAGCGCTACGAGTAGTTCAAACTCCTAGCAAATTACTTGTCTTGAGTAAAACAAAAACACATCGTATTGGTGATATTAACTCTGAATGTAGCTATAGTAATTTTATAGATGTAGCCTTCCTGCTCATGCAACATTAGTTGTTCAACAGATTGGAACTGCTAAAGTAATTATCACACTCACTATAGAAAGTATAATACCCGAATCTTCAACGGTTGTTTGATGAAGATTTGCTACACGAAGCGCTAGATGATTCCGAAGGCTGGCCTTCGCTTTTTTGTTCATTATCTAGAACCGAATAAGAACGCCTCACGGCCGTCAAGGGGGGTGAACCGGCTGCCGAAGGAGTCGGAGTTTTAGTTTTTGGAGGAATTGCACTTAGAACCTGGAGTGCGTTATAGCGTGTTAACGCTGGGTCGCTCATATTTCCATACGCAGCTTCCTAACCTACAGAATTTGTTATAACAGGTGGTCTACTTTCTATTACGTCATTAGGCTTAATAGGTCTGCGCTTACATGGTACCGAAGGAGGTTCAGGTGGAGCTGTATTAGTACGCTTTCTTGATGTAGATGCTAGTGGTTGAAAAGCTTCAAGGTATGAGTTTAGACCTCTTCTACTTATAACACCCTGTTTATATAGTTGCAGAATCTGTCTAACAGCTTCCATCTCGATTCTATATGTAAGTAATATTCTTCTAATTGTATCGTACCTGTCTGTATTAGCAGCCTGGTTTGTTATTTAAGATGTTCTTCTCTTTGTCTTATTATTATATTATTCAATTTTTTCTCTCTTTTTGCTCTTGTCTTTTCATACGTACTCTTTTGGATTCACTATTCATCTTACCACGTACCCTACTATACGCTACTCTCTAACTAACAGACCCCCGACGGCCGGCCGTCTATGGCTCCTGCCGTTGTCCAGGGTTTGACCTTCGCTGTGATTATGCTAGCATAATTACACTAGGCAACGCTTTGTCAAGGTGAAGTGCGCCAGCGGCAACGCTTTGTATGCTATCAGTATTAATTGATGCATCATTAATCTCTAAATCCTTGAACCTATAATCTATTATGATCAGATTACACATTACATGTTACATGGATCATAACGTGCTTCCCAAAAATAACTAACACAGCTTTCTCATTTTAAAGAATTCGGCGACCACTACACATTCTTTAGTATTACTGCTGTGCGAGAGGAACACACACACACACATCTTCAACATTAACATTATTTAAAGTGCCTATGAAATGAAATTTTGCGAAATTTTCTTTTTGCATCATCGAAAAATATCATCTTTTCTGATTACAATGACACCAACCTTGTCCAGCAATTCAAACTAGAAGTTGGTAAATTTTAAGTTCAAATTTGGACTTTAAGAATATTTTCTTCTCAAAACCGCGCTCGGTGAAGAGGTCTTCATTACGTATGAAGTGTGACACAGTGCACCATTTGTATATGAAAGTATTATAAACATTGTGGCTTCAAATGGTTAGAATTGCGTTTTTGAGTGTATTTAACCAAAATACAGGAATGTCTATGTTACAAAGTCTAAATACATTGTTGGAATCAATTCAATTTATTACTAAACGAAGTTTAAAGTAAATGGTTTGAACCCGAAAGTTGGTTTGAACGAAGTTTGTCGCCAAACTAGGTTCAAAATAATATAGGTATTTATTTGCCCAACAAAGTTGGTTTAAACGAAGTTTGTCGCCAAAATAGGAAACATAGATGTTGCAGTTAGAGTGAAGGTTTTGGCCTTTCAATAATCAATACTAAATACAATGCTTGCACTTTTAGATCCATGTTTACAATACATTAAACTATCTCCAGTGCAATAAAACCTAAATGTATATAAGCGTTCTAACATTACAAAAATCGCTAAATATCTTCCTTAAAAATATTTTATATCTTGGTTGTGGCAGTAGTCACATTTTTAGAGATTCTCGCTTTACATTTAATCTAAAATTGACTCGATATAAGTTGGATACTCAAATACAATGAATAGATGTAATAATTACAAAATAGTAAAAAACATCATTATATTTTCCTTAGCAATGATGATTTATATTAAATTGTATATCGACATGTACCAGCACTGACAAAGTAAATATAATGTAATAAAATATCCACCCACGCATGCCGACTATCAATCTGACTACCAGCACTATAGCTGCACGAATATATCTTAGAAATGAACATTAGAATTGCAGTTTCAATCTTGATGGTACAAAACTTATAATCGCAGTCTGTGGAATGAATAATAAAGTACATATGCACGCGGTAAAACCACAGAAAATATTTACACATAAAAATTACCAAATACATAAAACAGATATAGTAAAAAGCTGTTATCGGGCTCTCTGTTTTTCTCTCGGAAGTGTTCAGAAAACATCGGATTATCTTAAAATCGTCGTTGTTTTGAAAGAACTATCGAGCTATGAAGATTTTCTTTTCATTGAACTATAATTTATGTATACATTCTTTATGAAAATGATGAAAATACAAAAATGTATAATATTTAGAAAAGTTCACAAAAAGTTCACAAACTTTTTATGTTCATGAAATGTTCATGAAGAGAGCAAAAAGTTCACAAATTTGTGAATTTTGTTCACGATCTGACAGCACTGCTCCGATATGTCACACTGCATACGTCACAACTCGGTACCAGTCCTTTCTTCAGGTAATTTTTTAAATGGTGTAAAAATTCCCTGTTTGAGACGATATAAAATAATTTTTATTTTTCGGAATTGAATTTTGGTTTTGATTATGGCTCAGGAAGATAATGTCTGTCGAAATAGCAAAAAAAATCGCAAAATTTCATTTCATAGGCACTTTAAGTTGATAGACATCTTGAGCAGAAGACAATAGTAACGGTTAAGTAAACCAATTGTATACTATCTTACTATATACGCGAGGAATGATACCTTAATTCCCATGGATCAATTTAGAAGGAAGGAAAAAATGGGAGATTACGAAGATAGAACACTTAAACAGAAATATATACCACTCATGGAAGTTGATTCGAATGGAACGTGGTTTTGGGGGTTTTATAACAGGGACTGAAAATCCTCCGGCTGAAATAGCAACCGTTCAAACTAAGAAAGCATTTCGACTACAATCGCATAAGGCTTATTCACTTGTAGCATTGAGTGTCGATAAGAGCCTACAAGTTCATATCTCCACGACGATTGAACCACTTGTTGCTTGGGAAACCCTGCAAAAGCAATTCGAGTTCGTATTAATAACACAGATGGTGAGATTAAATCGAAAGTTCAATGCAGCAACCATGAAAGAAAGGACTGACATTATGAATCATCTCACATACATGACTTCACTCGCAGAGCAGTTGAGAGAACTTAAAAAGAGATATATGATAAAAAATTCGCTACTGTGGTGATTGGAAGCCTACCAGAGTCATACGAAAGTTTCATATCCAATTTAAATGAAAGGAAAATAGACGAACTTATCTTGGACAGTGTTATTTATAGGTCTCCTGATTGAAGAGTACATGAAACGAAAAGAGAAAGGAGTGAAGCTGATTCAAGAAGCACTATTTTCAAAAAGAGTAAGTCTTCCAGGAGAAGGAAGGTTTCGACATGGCAGAAATCGTGGAGAACAAAATGTCGATGGAACAACCAAAACAATCAACAAACACAGCACATCGTTTAATGTGATTCCAGTAAGTCTTAATGGTTCACGTAAAGTACGTAAAAATGTTGAAGAAGGTGAATCATGCACCGATCGTTAACTTTATGAAGTACATGGCAATCGTGGTAAATATGCTTGCAAAGCTTCCTAAAAATGTTGTACCAAGAATATTTCTGATATGTTTTTGAAATCCAAAAGGTCGAAACTTTTGGACTCTATTGTGAATAACTTTTGAGGTACAAACCATAGAGAATGTCTCAGAATAACGCACGGGTTGATTAAGAAAACCCTAGTTACGCTATTTTTGGCCGTATAAGTACAATGCGCTCAAAAATTCATTGCTATCGTGGTTCTTTACTATAGATTATTCTTATGAGTGGGACTGTTTAATATGGCGGCGCATCTAATTATACATGTTTGTAAATGTAGATCGTCCAGGTTGGTATAGTCCTGAGAAGGACTGTTTTTGTTTTTGTTGACTGACGTTTCAACAACCTTGTCAACCTGACTTGAAACGTCAGTCAACAACAACAAAAACAGTCCTTCTCAGTGTACAAGTGTAAACATATACACTGTATACATGTGTATACACATGTATCATGTAACGATACTTCTGGGTTCAAACCATTAGTTCATCTAATTATAGCTGTCTACTTCCGGCTTCAAATTTTTGCACAACGATATTGGGGATGCACGATCCATTTAATAAGCATATCAATGGACAATTCAAACGGTTCAAAAATTCCTGTGAACGATCTGATTTGCCAGTTTATGGTGTCAAAAGCAACAAATATGGATAAACAAAGCTATTCATGCATTTTCTGGTGACCACAACAGTAGTAGCTAAGTCGTAATATATTCCAGAATTCAAAGAGACAAATACAATACAGAAAATTAGGCAAGTGTGCTTGAAAAACCATAGAAAAACTACAATGGACTGCTAAGTTATGGGCAACGAAAAACCCATTCTTACAAAAATTAAGAGACATCCAAGCCAGACTAAAATATTCCAGAAATAACCTTAAGAGTAATGCAACGTACTGGAAGAATATTTTAATCAGATGACAAAAAAACTGGAAATTTTTGAATAAGATGCAGTTTACGTATGGAGAAAGAAGAAACTTGGAGATAAATGCATATAAACCAAAGAGCGCCATTCCCACTGTGAAACATTGTGGTGGTTACTGGTGGTAGTGTCGTTCTATGGAGAGCTGGGGAGCTTTTAAAGGTGATGATAATAATAAAAAAGAAGAGTAAGAGAATATTTTGAAAGAAAGCTAATGCAGATAGCCATAAAACTGGGTCTGCGTCGACGTTTTGTTTGATTTGAAACATGCATCACTTTTTGTGAAAAGTTATCACCAAAATTATGTGTTCGAACGGCTTCTAACAAAATACTTGTCAAATCGATAAGCCTTTGTCTAGTTTCGTCTGCCTTATAAACCCGTGAATAAAACAAAATCAAAATATCGTCGAAATTTTCAAGTCTCATCAACCAGTACTGCGCACTTTCACCATCACAATTTTATGGAAACCTGAACTGCTCGGCATAACTTATTTTCCAAAGAAACAAAACATTTTTCAACATTCGGAGGCCAACTAACGCCAGTGATTTTTTAACAGTGATTTTTTTGGCCTCTACCTGGGATTAAATTTAAAATTATAATGTCAGGATATAAATTACTGTAATTTACAGATCGATTTGTTTTTGTGTGGTAACTTCGATTTGCTTATGAGTAAGTTCGATTTATGGTGGCTTGTTCAATTGCTTATTAAAAGGGTTTGATATATTCCCTGCATCATGCGTGTAGCCTGAAAAAGTGCGTATAGTTTGCACAGTATGTATGCATTGTATCTTGTATGGTGTGGAATGAGCATCAGCGTGCAAAACAACAATAAACTCAAATTTCAAAACCATGTCCATTTCTCAAGGAGGAGGACCAACGGAGATAATGGTGTATGACAATTCCGGAAGTTTGAAGTACTTGATTATGTTTTATTGTCTACTCCACTTTGATTCCCTAATGGTTTGTTTTGAGTCGCATTTTATAATTATCAATTCAATTTTTACCCTTTACTGCATATATCTTGGCTATGACTATTTTCTGCTGTGCTTGAAAACAATTCTTTGCCGTTCATTTGATTTCCCCCGGATTTACTTACGTTGTATCATTCATAGCGGACATATGCTACGCTACACTTCGCCACGCCTTGAAATAATTTTATGCAGACGTCATTAGTATTTGACACGTGATCTATGCCTAATTAACCAATAGGAAGCGAGAAGAGAATGCAGCAACATTCTCAATTGAAGAGAAGCTGTGTTTATGTACGTTCAACTTTGATTTGAGTTAAATTTGGGTATATTGTTAGTCTGCTTTGATAAGAAAACCTATATTTGCACAGTGTAGCAAGAAGAGGTGCTTGGTTTACTAAAATCCTGTGAAGATGGATAACGAAATGAAATATTTAGCGGTGGACAGGCGAAGTGTTGGCGACCCCACTTTGCAAGCGGAATGGAGCGCGAAGAAACTTGTTTGGGTGCCCGACGAAGAACACGGATTTATCCCTGGAAGCGTAAAGCAAGAGAAAAACGATGAAATAACTGTTGAATTATCAGGTGGCAAACGAAAGACGTTTAGCAAGGATGACATCCAGAAAATGAATCCACCAAAATTCGAGAAGGTCGAAGACATGGCCGAACTAACTTGCCTCAACGAAGCAAGCGTTTTACACAATCTGAAGGATCGTTATTATTCAGAATTAATCTATGTAAGTTACTTTGTTATTCGACGAATTTAAAACATTCTTTAAACAGCAACAATACAAATTTTCGCGACATGGCAAACAAAAATTTCCAACCGGAAGTGATTTATGTCATCAAATAACGAATATCAAAGTGCTGCCATAATCCTAAAATTGTTGTATGTTTTTATCGTTTTAGACCTACTCCGGTTTGTTTTGTGTGGTCGTTAACCCGTACAAAAGGCTGCCTATCTATACCGATAATGTGGTGGAAATGTACAAGGGAAAAAAACGACATGAAGTGCCACCACACGTTTATGCAATTACAGACACTGCATACAGGAGTATGCTTCAAGGTATTAAAATTGCTTATTAGTTTGTAAATGCTTGACATTCCCTTTTAATTAACTGCCGTAGACATTCCTCGCTCTTGTAATTCCATGGCTGGTGACAAATTTTTGACTTCGTATGTTGTATTGTATTTAGTATTTTCGCGACTTAGACAATTGACGTCGCTCCATTGCCGATGGCAGGCGTGGCACCAGCATTTAAAGTACATTTTTAGACAGCTAAATTCTGTACGTCATTTCCCCATGCTGCTTTGAGCCTTGTTACATATACATAGTCAAAGCATATCGTTTTATATAAGTTTCAAATTAATAAAGATAAGGACTGGCATTGTACGAAAGTGAATCTGATTGTATATTGTTTTACTGTCGATTACAAATTGATCTTCTAATTGCAATATGCTATAATTTGTCACTGCGGTCAGAATTCAGGGTCTTTCTCACAGACTCACACAGTGCCATTCATATAAGAATATTTCTTGTCGAAAATACTTGTTTCTACGAAACATGATCGATAAGGGTGTGCGCGATATTTCTGATAAGCTAATTTAAACAAATATTATGCATTAACTTGTTTACATATATTTAATTCGGGCACTTTTACATTATATACTTTTCTTGATACTTTGGTTAATTGATATCATTCAGCAAATTATATTGCTTTTAAAGGCAATTTTTAAATTCGATGATGGACGTGATTAGTTTGTTATGAATGTAGTTAAGTATATTGGACTGAAAATTGTTTAACATTCAAATACACATATCTAATTCAAGTTTATTCTTTTAGCAATTATCTTACCTGACAAACTATGTCCAAATATACAATATATATTTATTTGGGGTTATTTGTCTTTCAGATATTTTACAATTTTATTCATTTGATTTTGAAGTTTATAACGGAAACGAAAATGGGAATTAATAGTAGTGTTTGTGTGGCAGCATTAAATTGTCAAAACAGTTCTGTTTCCTGTTACATCGATTTGGAAGTTTTTTGTCGTTTATTTGGTGTGTTAGTAAAACAAATATTTTGTTTGGTAGAACTGAGAATTTTGTATTTCTTCTATTGTCTTGGTAAAGATAGAATCACGGAGAAGTTTTTGGATATATTCCTTTTTACGGTATTGTTTGTTACAGAGGATAGACAAAAAAAATTTAGTCCTTTACATAAAAATGTCGTAATAGATTCGTAGTTCATCAGTTTTAGATAAATGTTAAAGAAATGAAGTCTAACTGCTGAAGAATAAGTGCAACAAAAATATGTTAAATGAAAACTGTGAACCGTCAACTTTAATCATTAAATCAAAAGAAAAAATTATCAATTACTATGCTGAAGAAAAAGGTGTTCTAATGCAAAATACATTTAATAAAATACACGCAAAAGTGAATTCAAATATAAATGTATTATGGAAGAAATTGTGCTTTTTCTAATTTGTGACAAGTATATAGTCGTATATCACTCGTATGTACTCGTATGTCAGTTGTATGTACTCGAATGTACTCGTGTGGTGTTTTAGTTACGATCATTTATGGAGTATTTCTTATTTGGTCTGCTATTGATCCTAACGTGATTTACATCTTGAGTTTTTTAAATTATGTTATGAGGATACATCTATTAACAGTAGTAAAACTGACAACACCTTTGCAAATCTGTTCAAATATCTGTTACTAATAGCCGAACAACTAATTTGTTAATTACATTCAACAGAACCAAGAAATACAAAGATAATTTTATTTTCAGTCCCAGCCTGTGGTTTTAATCATATCGTTCACTTTATGTAAACATGTGCATTCCACTTCATTTTTGTTGGTGTTTTTTTTTTGCTTATTATCGTGTTAATTAAGTATATCTTGCAGCAAAAAAATAAACCATAGGCAGCTCCGAAATAATTTTTTTGGTTTAAGCTACATTTTTGAAGCAAAGAACATCAAAATAACTACACCTTACATACTTTATACCCAAACTGGAAAGAAGGGCAATTGTGCCAAGGAGATTTGTCAAGTGACAAGTTTTCGTGCCGCCAAGTTGTTAGTCTAAAAACAAAAAAATATAGCACACGTCCTTTGATTTCATTTCTACAAAATATCACCCTTCTCCCCTTTCTTAAAATGTTCCAGCATTCTCTCCCAACGTTTTTGCACAAACAAATGTTTTCTTTGAGAAGGGAAAGCTCTTACAAAATATGGCATGACTTGTGTCGACATAAATGTATAGTACAGTCTTCACAGTACACAAAAATGCAGGTCTAGTAGTCTTGGTTATTATTATTTATTATTTGGGAAAGTAGTTCACAGGATTGCTGTGTTTTCTGCATTTGTGAAATCAAAAGTATCAAGCAAAGCAATTTTGTGTGCTTTCAGGACAACCATAGCTTTTTCCCAGCAGTTTTATATTCTTTGGAAATAGATATTAGAACTTCTTGTGTTATAATGTTCATTTGTTTTTCCTTTCTTTGTAGAGTGTTAAAACCAATCAATTCTTTGCACGTAACTTTATGTTTTGATTTACCATTCCAGATTTATTTTCTCAGTTTAACATATTACGTAAACGTTTGCCTTTGTTATCTTGTGTTCCAGTGGGGAAAGTGGAGCAGGAAAGACAGAAAACACAAAGAAAGTCATTCAATATTTGGCATCGGTTGCAAGACACAGCAAGGCTGCATCTGCTTCAAGTGAACAGGTTATTATCTCTTAGATTTGATTAGTATCCATAGTCAGAGTTATCACTAACGTATTGTTTTGCAACTTTTTTGAATCATCCCCGATTTTATGTTTTTTTATTTATTATTTCTTCTTCATTAAAAAATGACTCAATTTATTTTTGACTCAATTCGTCGGAAAAATAAGAACCAGCCATTATAGCTTATTTGACAACAATTTTGGGTTATTTTACTCTTACTTTAGAAACTTAAAGGGTTTTGATTTTAAATATCAGCCTCGCTGCTTGTTTTTGACTTGATCGCCAAGTTCATTTCACATTTTATAAATTTGAGTAGATGTACACATAACGCAAATAAGAAATATTATGCCATTACTTAACAAAAAACATAGTTTAAGACTAACATAGGTTAAATGCTTTACAACTTCAATTTTCATGGCAAGGGTTTTCTATGACGTCGTTTTTTCGCTCATAATTGTGTTATTCAAAGAATATTTTCCCAGTGACATTCTTGGTCTGCTCAAAAATCTTTTGCATCATGACGCGGAAATGGAAGATTTATTGTATCGATTTTCGTTTTGGACTTGACAACTCTAACAATACAACTTTCCCAATGGTGTCTATAACTCCAATGAAGATAACTTCTATCTTTTTGGTATGACCATGAGACAATTGGGGTGAATCATCTTATCATCCGTCAAAAGAAAATACATCTCTTTTTTTGCTTTTATTCTGTGTGGAAAAGTCGTATCATGCAGCAAATATTTAGTAAATAGCTTAATAATTAAAAACTCTTATGATATTATAGCTGAGTCTGCAATTTTATCGGACGAAAACATTGCGTTCCACAAAATGTCGAATAAACTTTTCAATGTCTCTAACCCTTTTTTATTTATGTTATACTTGATGGCATAAACACATTGGCGTCGATCGAACATTTATTAGGGAGAGAGATCAAGGATTTCACATTCAAGAGAGATCAGCATGGTATAGCACAATATATGAATAGATTGCAGGGGATTATTGCCAAAGTTTCAATTGATTGAGACTTTCAGTGAAATGCAAAAACTTACCTATAACATTGTCAAAATCTCATTTTGATAGGAAACCTGGTAAAGAGCCAATTTGTTTCATTATAAATGGTGTAGCAGAGACTGGTAAGAGTTATCTAATCAATGTGAATTTGAAATATGCTATAAAGCAAGTGTGCTATTGTCGGCACAGCTAGAAAAAAGTGTATATAATATACGAGGAACAACAGCAATTCATTCCTCATTGAAGTTACCTATATGGTCACTAGGGAAAAAAGACCTAACAGGACACAGCTTGTCTAGATTACAAAAGAATTTGATTAATATACAATACTTTATCATTGATGTGTATTCTATACTTGGGAAAGTTACTTTTAGTAGGAAAGATAAACGTTGCAACTGGTTAATAGCGGGTAAAGTACTTGGAGGAAATTCATCAAAAACCACGTAGGTGGCAAACAAAGTATTCAGAGATACTACTAGACTTTTTTATAGCAATGAACAAGTTGCCAGTTACAAACACGACCAACTAACAAAGCTTGAGAATCCAATTGCACGAATTAACGCCCTCTCTATATGTTAGAAATAGCAAATAAAATTCATTTTGATGACATTTAGGCTTAGAACCTGTTGTTTTTCTTGCAAAAGGTGCAAAACCTTAAATAATTCATTGCTGTATGCAACTGAATATTCATTTAAAATGTGAGAAATTTAATTGTAATAATTAATTAATAATTTAATTCATTTTAAAATCTAAGTTTTCAATTTTTGCGAAGATAGTTTTTATGCTTCCCCAACAATTTTATTTGACACATACATCACTAAGGTTAAGAAATATAAGGCCATAAGCATAATTGAGTGATTTTTATCATCTACGGCAAGTAACTACGTCAGAATCTGACCTTACAGGTGCACAAAGCGATATATGTCATTTTGACTCTGCTGAAGAGGCAATTTTGAAAAATCAAAAGATCATACTCTTCGTTGTTATTCCAATTTTGTTTGTTCAAGCGTTTTCTTGCACCAAATAGCGTTCGCAAGTTTCTTCAGCTTCGAAATATCGATTGAAATGCCTTCTTGAATATCCAAACAACCGAAACTTCGACTTAGTTGGCGCAGAATATCAAACCTCATAGTATAAGAAGCTATTTTAGTTATAATATGTAATAATATCAGTGATTTTGGCATGCTCTTTTTGTACTATGTCCCATATGCAGCAAAGTCACAGTCATTGCGCAACAAAATTATGGCTAGGGTTTTGATCCAGGTCTCGTCGTGTCTCTCGTACAAAATGCTTGAGCTGTGATACTATATTACTTATTATATAAATAATAAAACTTATTATTTATAAAACGTATTATATATAACAACGTATTATTTATACTTTCTACGGGTTTGACACCACTTATAACTCTTTCTATGGTGTCAGAAGATGGTAAATTTATCTACGTTTGAATAAAATGTTAGAGTTTTCTTATATTATTTAAGTTCTTTGATATATTTGATCTCTGTAATGCGATATTGCATAATTTATAAAATCCTAACAGTGTCATTAGACATACTTGACCCCCCCTAGATCCGCCCCTGGTTTGCACAATAGAACTCACAGAATTCAAAGCAACACGGCACAGCGATTAAAATCAATTGTGTGTACCTTAAACTTCTATACATTTTTATCATGTTTACTGAAGTTTTAAACGTGGTTAACACTTGCTCTTTTTCATTTGGTTCCTCTTAAGTAAAGTATTCGTGAAGACAAGTTGGCATTATAATTTTCAAAGGAATTCAACAATTTTGCCTGTAAAAGGTTTTCGGGTTTTAGTGTTTTTCAATCCTTGATTAATTTCAACATATTGTTTCTCGGTCGAAGAAAATAATTTAAAGTATTCCAAAATTGTAAAACTTCAAGACATATCAAAGAGAAAGTTTGTCTTTTTTGAATTTTTTTCAGCTTCCAGGAAATATATAACCTCATAGACTTATATATTATTTCAAGTTGGCGAATCTACAATTAAAAACAAAAAATTACAATTGGTAATCTTAGATACATATTACGGATGTAAGAAGTAAAGAGAAAAATTAAATTTGTCATTATCAGCAAAAACGTTTTTCTTTTCTTTGTGATCGAAGAAAGAAAAATATATTTTCCACACCTGGATTGTGTCTTGCTCTTCTTCATTATCCTCATCATCAACTGCAACATCCTTAAGGGTTATTTTAAACTGCTTTGGTCAATTGCCAATGTCGGAAAAATCAATCATCCTGAGCTTCAAAGTTGGCTCTGGAGGCTGCATTTTATGCAAAAATAATCTTTTCAAAATTTAATGAAGATCGTAAAAATACTTGTTTTATAGCTATGAGCATGTAATACAAATTCCCGCGCCTCATGTTTGTAAGATAAATGTGCGCGTTAAATTTTTTATTTATGACCAAACTAGAATTCAAATGCATAAGTAATGTAGCAAAAACAGAATCTTTCAACGGAAACAGCATATCTCACTTGAATAACATGCAGCTTGCGAAACATTCAAGTTATTTGACTCAAGTTATTCTCGATTGCTTTCAGTTTTGAATCACGCGTTGGGTTTCTTATCACTTAAAAATACCAAAATAAATCTCACTTTGCAATAAATTTTGTCAAAACGTCTACAATCCACGTGATCAATAAAATATATTGAAGAAAGTGTAAAGAAGATTTATTGATAAAGACAAAAGAAACTACACACAATTAGCTATTGGTATTTGAATCGGTTTTTCTAGTTTGAATTTCATCAACCATGATCAGTAGTACGCTCGGCAACAGCAGTAATTTGGTCCACAAGAATATTTAACATTACATGAAAAGTAACGTTTAATTGCCTGGCCAACTTTGCCCACGTCTGTATCTGCGTGTTTGTTCACAGCTAAAGATGGCTGATTTTTGTACACATGGAATGAGTCCACGCACTCCGAATGTTTTGTTCTAACAATTGAAAAAGAACACAAGTTGATTGAAAATGTTTAATGCTTGAAGCTATTTTACTTTTCATTTCAAGCTATTCCCGTTTTTGTTTTTAAGTAAACTAAAAACCAATACCAAAACACAATTGATAATTATTTGCGGCAATCGGACATAGTAAACGATCCATTCATACGGTTTATTTCTATAATGCATATATTCGTTAAGACAGTTATCACAGTCGAATACCTATCTATAGCAAGTATGCTAATAACATAATATGATTTCAATATAAATTGCACTCACAGCAATATAACTACTCGGATTGTCATTTGGACATTTTTTACTTTAGATTATCCGATTTTAGTATCTGTTTAAAAATAAAAAGCCTTAAACGCAATAACTGTATTATCAAATATATGTGTAGTATTCTTCGGTGGCGTAGTTAGTGGTCGTGCTCTTCCTGCTCAGCAGGACTACAAATTCTGTAAAAACGAATATAATAAAATCGAAGAAATTAAAAATTACATTTATAGAAGCACTTTCATATCAGCGTACAACACTATTCGTTCATTTTCAGCAGTTTTAAAAGGCACACTTTCCAAAATTTCCTCGTTATTACATATTTACTACTCAAGTCATCTATAAGAAGTGCTAGAAAAAAATAGTACGTTTCTATTGGATAACATTCCGGTGCGCGCTTCTTATTGGCCTTTTAATAAGCGCAAGCTCTGTCCGTTTCTATTGGTCAATATGCTGGTGGTGTTTATTTTATTATCACCGTACATGATTCTGGAACTAACCAATATATTGTTCGCAATTATAAATTGGAAATATCTTTTTGATGCTGTGTATAGAAAACCGATTGTTATTGTTACACAAATATACAATGGATTCCAGTAATGTAAGAATTAAGGACAGCATATGATTTACTCGGCAAGAGAAAGACGTGCAAAATACTACACTTATAAAAGCGATCATGATCTAACTTCGTGGTATATAAAGATATGAATTGTTTCACAATCAAATTGAGGTCACAAATCTGAATTTTTAAACGGCTCTAATAACACCGCTGCGGAACTGCCTTCAACAAGTACACCATCGTCGAAATGTAAAATATTAAAATCAGAAGCAGAATATTTAATAAAGATGTCTTGAGTTACAATTAAAGGCCTAATTCCTGTAATAGCCTAAATTCCCTCTACTCCTCGACGTTATAGAGAAGGACCAAATCTTTTTCGCTGGCTATATACCATACTGATATTTTTCATAGTTCATAAGCTTACCTGCCAGGAACAGTTCCAATCAAAGATCGACAAATGCTTGCACAGTTTGGTGAAGATTTAGAACAAGCTCGACGCACTCCCAAATAAACACCATGTTCCTTTCCTAATGCTGCACATGCACTTGTTGCCATCTCATCCAAGTAGTTTTCAAAGTATGACTCAAAACTCCCGTGAGCTGATTAGAAAAAAACAACCAGCTGTTAGCTCAGCTATTGCATATGATATAGCCAATTCGCAAATTGTTGCTTTTGTTCTATGCTAACGGAATGAAATCCGTTTTCTTCTTTCACTTTAATATAAAAGTTTATTGTAATTTGTAAATGTTTTCTTTATCTACTGTACTTGCTTCAGTGAAGCTTATTTTATAAAAGCCATTAAAGGTCTTACCTGCCCCTGTTAACAGCAGAAACAGAGCAAGTCTTACGATAGTAGAACCACCATTCATAATTTCCATTTGGTTTCTTCGTCAACCTATATGAAAAATATGGCTGAACTTGATTTTCTGATATAAAACTTTTCCAGGGCAAGTTTATTTTTTGTTACGCTTCTCCTTGATCATCCCAGTTCCCAAACTCAACATTATCATCGCAATATGACAACATTCGTGTTTCTTAGAATTACCATAACATGAAAAGAATTTACTTAAACACAACACCTTCAATCCGACCAAAGTTCGAAAGCGCGCAAAGTTTGATAAAAGAATGATGTCGAAATCTTCCACAAGTGTCGTCCGTTTTCTTAATGGAAGAAATCAGGGTGTAACATGGCTTTAATGCATGTGAGTGATGCTTGACGGGTTTTTTGAGTGTTTTTTCCTGTTGTGCATTTGTTCTTTTGTACCCAGAATAGTTGGTCAAGCGAGAAATCCATCGATAGAAAATGCTGGTAAGTTCTAAAACATGGAATTTGGAATCTTGGAGTCTTGGAATCATTTTGTGTTAAATCATAAAGTAATATTTCTATTTACAAGTTATAAAGACGCGTTCAATTTACAATTTCAATTTACAATTCATGTAAACGCAGTGAAGAAACGTATGTTTTGCGTACTTTTACGAAATGACAAATCTCTAGCTATCACGTTGCTTTCAAGATATGCTCTCATATTCTCCCGTCATTAGTAAATACTTAACTCAGGTGTGAGTGTTTTGAGAGATACTTATGTGTAATCACAGCAACATTTTTAATAGTTCTGTAGCTTTCCGTTATTGTAGTAAATAGAGCTTTGCGTAATGCCTTGTATGAATAGAGTAGTTCAACCATTGTAAAATAGACGTTGAATATCAAATGTATAGTTATCTGTGATATCTCTATTTGTTGTTGTTGATCAAAACTAACCTTGATAACATATGAGTGAAAATATGTAGATGAAAACCGGCAAATGCATGTCAAATGAGAGGAGATAATCACGAGTCATAATATGCAACTCGATATGCAATACGTTCTAGTGTTTCATTGTCAGACCTAAATGAGTAGTCAGACCTTAACACAACTTTCACTCATATGAAAGTGTATATTGTTCTTACCTCTCTCGCGAAATCCTAGGTTTCCAATTCAAATTTATCTCGAGAAATAATGCCTTAAATGTGTGTATTTTTGCCTCTTGTTCGATCGCCATTGTGTACATGCAAGCGAAGCCGTAGTCCAGCAGCGGTTTTTCGTCGTTACGTCACTGCGCGGTGATCGTTGTCAACATTGGACAAAATATACTAGCAAAAGTAGAAATTACGCATAGGCATATTCATAGTTGCATTTTATTTTCTAAGTTTTTAAATTATTTTGCGCAATGGATACGGATTACTCAAACGATTCCTCTAGTAATTATTCTGGAAGCAGTGTTTCAAGAAATGATTAACGATCAAAACATGATTCAACCATATGCTTATGAGCCGATTGAAACAGACTCTAGCGACGAGCCTATGGACGACTCCGACAAAGTTCAGCTGTTGTAACAATGAATGTACACAATGGCGATCGAACAAGAGGCAAAAATACACACATTTAAGGCATTATTTCGCCACAAAATGAAGTAGATTTTTGCGCTTCGTGCTGACTGTTCAGTCATTTGATCAAGTCGCTATTAAACCCTTTCTGCATTGTTGTAACTATCAGATTGTACTGCGATTATAATCACATCGTAGAGGATTGATTTCACTGAAAACAATTTTTTGCGACAATACGTGCAGTTAATGATCTATGTTACCCACGTATTGTGGCTTGATATTGTGCTTGGCGCCACATGAAGTGTCTAAATAAAGGTCCTTTGCTGTTTGCTTTAATGCTCCCTATTTGTTAAATTCTACAGCAATGTTATTTTCTTTCAAGGCACTGATTTTAACCATAAGATTTAATCCCTCTAGTGTATTAGCAAGAAAACGATCCCTTATAACAAATAACCAAGCTTTTAGTCATTTGAAAACACTCCCAAGCAGATCCAGGGTCGCTAGGTGACTGGACTTGACGCTACATTGATCAAGTATTTCGTTGTTTTGTCGATGAATACTGATTGGAGGATTGATTTCACTGAAAACAATTCTTTGCGACAATACGTGCAGTTAATGATCTATGTTACTCACGTATTGTGCCTTGATATTGTGCTTGGCGCCACATAAAGTGTCTAAATAAAGGTCCTTTGCTGTTTGCTTTAATGCTCCGTATTTGTTAAATTCTACTGCAATTTTATTTTCTTTCAACGCACTGATTTTAACCATAAGATTTAATCCCTCTTGTGTATTAGCAAGAAAACGACCCCTTATAACAAATAACAAAGCTTTTAGTCATTTGAAAACATTCCCAAGCAGATCCAGGGTCGCCAAGTGACTGGACTTGACGCTACATTGATCAAGTATTTCGTTGTTTTGTCAATGAATGTCTGATTGCTACTACTGCATAACTATTTTATCAACAATGTATGTTAGTCACTGAAAAGAAGCCAAAAATTACCAAAATCAAGAATTTTGACTCTTTTTACGCCAAACTGGACACCCTGGCATTCTCGCTGGCAATCACCAAACCTCGACCAAAAAGCCTGGAACAAATTAGAAATGAAGAGCCTGGCATCAAATTAAAATCTTTTTCACTGTTTTACGTATTTATCTTTTATGAAATTAGTTGAAACTTTGTAAAGTATCACTGGGAACACCGTTGCAGGTTAAATTGATAGCCAACATACTCAAAGTTTGGAAATATTTATTTAAAGACATCACACTCTCGCACGCTTGTCTTATTTGTTAATGGCATTTTCACATTGATTTTTCTTATCTTTAATTGTTCTAGTTAAATATTAATGATTTAATTCTTCATTAGTTCCAGTCTTCAACACCCTTTCTCTATTTGCTATTAAATTAACAACAAATATACATGTCAGCTATACTATCTGTTCTTAACAACAAACAAAGTTTATACGTGTAACTGAATAATTATTAAATTGTTCATCTGGGCCCCGTTGTACGAAAGGCGTTTAAGTCACTAATCAATGTTAAAATCGCTATTCAACGTATAAATCTTAAACACTTGAAAAATGGCGTTGTACAAAGCCCGTTTAACCCAGTCTGCGAAGTAGGGCGCTTTTCGCCACGATCTTGCGTGAGCATCAAAGTACCTCTGATGAAAAAGCGAGTGCTCAGAAGTAGCAAAGAATAACGTAAGTGCGCCTTTACACAGTTCACAGGAACATTGACTTAAGCACCCAAACAGGTATGATTGAAAAATATCCTGCAAAGTGTGGTTGGGTTACTTATTCATCATTAATTTACTCTATAGAATGATTATGCGACTATAACACTCGGTTTATAACCGTCAATTTCAAACCATATATCATCCAATAAAATTGCTAAATGCAAATTAAAGCCTTTATAATTGGATGATAAATGAATTCGTAATAAGCATTTGCTTTTGAGCTTGTGATAAAAATTCCCAGTAGAGATGCTAGGATGGCGGGAGTAAGATTTTACTGACATACAATAAATACATCAGTCAAGGGCGCCATTACAATAGAGCTTTAATATCTTGTGTGCGCCGTTGCCATACTTTGCAGATTAGCTCTATCCACACATAGGCAGAGCCGGAGTAACATTGCGCAAGGCCCGTGGATGATTTTTCTTGTGGGGCCCTTACACCACTCTCCCATTAAAACCTTTGAATTGAGACGCACAAAAAATTTCTAAATTGCTTTTTTTAAATTTTATTGTCAAATACCACAATTTTGCAAACAAAATTGCTAATTTGGGTGTTGCAACACGATATTGCATGAACCAATAAAACAATGCGTACATGTGGGAAGCTTGTAAATTATGTGGACACAAATTGAAGAAGATTAATGTGCTTTGTGCTTGCTGTTCGGTAATTTGACCAAGTCATTCTTAAACTCTTTCTGCATTGCTCGAACTCTCTCAGATTGTACCGTGAGTATCCTCACATCGTGGGGAAATGGTTTCACTTGTACGTAGCCATGTATGACGCCTCGCTAACAGGGCTCATATGAACAGGCCAAGAGAAAACTTTTCCAAATGAACTCGCCAGTCCGCTTTTAGAGATGAAATTATGATATTGAAGACAAGGCGAACAACGGAATGGAAGTAGAATTAAAAAAATAAAGCAGTTATGATGGAATAATATCATAATTTAAAGTTCAATTCATTATTTGAATATAAAAGTAGTGTCATTATAATAACACAGACTATATTAATAAGCGCCATAAACCGATAAAAGATTCCAGTGATATATAACGACTTCCGGTCTACGATGCGCCATGCTTATTTTTAACTCGCAGCATCTGGGAAAATGTCATTTTCCTATTTCGTCTGGGTAGACGGGATTGAATTTCTCATATGAAAGCGAAGTAATGTTTGTCTTGGCGAGTGGGATGTCTCTCAAACCTTGCTCATATGAACAGGCTAGTAGATGGGACATACGGCATTTTTGTTTTGAAGTTAAATCGAATTTAATTACTGTTGCAATATCGTACGTACGTGTAAGTATGTTTGCCAGAAAAAGAAATTCCGCTTCAACGGTTTCGAAAGTGCTCCAACATATGTAATAACGCTCTTTTTACATTCTAGTAAAATACAATAATATAGTATTATGAGTATAGAAATATGCGCGTCGGGTAACGTGTTTTTCTTCATTTTCCTGAGGTAAATCCTGCGTTGAGAAATGGAGGAGATGGGTTTGTTTGCATGAAATTCAGCTACATGTGTTTGTCTCTACTTTAATGAAATAAACTGTCCAACTCAAGATCATTCACATCCTTTATTGTCAATGAAATGATTGAAAAATACAAGATTTTAGTAATACAATTCACAAGAGGTTTGAGCGAGTATGAACAGTTTAATGATCTATGTTATCAAGTATTGTGCTTGATATTGTGCTTGGCGCCCAATTATGAAGTATCTAGAAAAAGTCCCTTTGCTGTTTACTTTAACGCTCCGTATTTTCTAAATTCTACGGTAATTTTATTTTCTGCATGTCAACGCGCTGATTTTAACCATAAGATTTAATCCCTCTTATGTATAAGCAAGAAAACGATCCCCTATAACAATTAAAAAAGCTTCAAGTCATTTGAAAACATTCCGCAAGCAGATCCAGGGTCGCCAGGTTGTCTGGCCACGAAGTAGCCAAAGAGCAAAATAAAAAGTTAGCCAATTTGGCCAAAAAGAAGCCAAACTCGAAATTTAGCTAGCTTAATAATTGAGCAATTTCGCCTCAAATGTAATAAAAATATGGTGAAAGCAGGTTCGACATACCACTTCCGGCGGAAATTTTTTACACACAATACAGTCTGTTACGAAACTTAACGCTACATTGATCAAGTATTTCGTTGTTTTGTCGATGAATACCGATTGCTACTAATGCATAACTATTTTATCCAACAATTTATGTGTTTCACTGAAAAGAAGCAAAAGATAGCAAAAAAATACCGTAATCAAGACATTTGACTCTTTTTACGCCAAACTGGAAAACCATGGCTATCGCTGATTATGAAGCGTGAAGACCTCGAACAAAGAGCCTGGAGCTAGAATCAAACTTTTTCACTGTTCTACGTATTTATCTTTTGTGAAATTAGTTGATACTTTGTAAAATATTGTTAGGAACACCGTTGTAGTGATAGCCAATTAGCACACTCAAGGTTTGGAAATGTTTACTTAAAGACATCACACACTCACACGCCTCTGTCTTATTTGTTAATGGCAATTTCACTTTGATTTGTCTTATCTTCAAATGTTCTAATTAAATATTAATGTTTATAACGTCATTAGTCCCCAGTCTGTAACACGCTTTCGCTACTTGTTATTAAATTGATAACAAATATGTATGTCAGCTCTACTATCTGTTCTTCAGAACAAGCTAAGAACTAACTGCGTAACTGAATAGTTTTTAAATTGTTTATCTGGGGCCAGTTGTACGAAAGGCGTTTAAGTCACTAACCAATATTCCAATTGCTATGCACCGTATAAATTTTAAATCGTGTTATCCGTTTATGCTACCATTACAATTCATACTTGACTTTCATCATACATACTTTGCAACTAATTGCTACTTTTCGCTCGCCAGACGTGGCGAAGCTGCCAATTTTTATCGACTTTTGCATCTATCTTGTATGATGATCAAGGCATCAAGCTAAACTCACCTGATTTGAATTGAGTTTACCTCCCAAAAATGGACAGAATTTGTTCATGTTTTTTATGAAAGGATGAAAGGAAAGTTTACAACAGAGTTGTGTTAAAATTGAATGCAGTGCCATGCAAAATTAATGAGAACTATGGTATATCCCGTATAATAAAAATAACTATTAAACTACTTGCCTGCTCAATTTGACTGACTGTGTAGTGAAGACAATTATAATTGGATTGGAAAGTTGGATTTATGTAAACAGTTTTAAAGTACTACTTAGCGTTTCTGTAAATGAAGTAATTATTGTTATAGTAAACAGGTTAATACTTTAAAACCAAGATAAAAGAAGTGTGTTGAACAATGTGCTAAGATTTGTTTCTACCTTGAAATTTTTGTTCAACAATAGCTTATAATTATATCATTAATATGAATGAAAAATTAAAGATATTTTTGTCTCATCTCACCAAATCCATACTTGGTACGATTCCAGGTGATCCACAAATTCACATCGGATGCATTGGTTACAATGAAGTTGAATGTAGAAGAAGCAAAAATAGATGGCAAAGAAATTCATTGCGTCTTATGAAGAATTAGTAGAAATCAATAAAAAGAATTCTTTAAACAAATTGTAAACAAATTTAAGTTTGCTCATGGTCAAGCAACCTAGTTAAAGAAGCAAAGTCTGCCTTCAACATGTGACCTTTCCAATTATTTAGTTTCTTTGTACAAAATACTATTTTCAAGAAACTTGATTTGTAAGTCTTTCATTAATATTTTTTTACCAATAGATAAAAGAAACAAATTCAAAGGCTTGATGGAAAATACAAAGAATTATCAAGTTGTTTATCATTTACTTCCCAAATGTTAGTTTGTACATATAAATAATTAGTATTGGTAGCTGTAAGTTGTTCAAGCAAAACAGAAGAGTAGTAGTGCTCGAAGGGGTTAGCATTTTGGAAAAATTATATCTTGTTCTTTACATACATTACACAATTCCAAAATACTGTAAGTAATGCACGATAATATCTATATAAATTGATAAATTTCTTTGCCTACACTGTCAAATAACTATTTTGCCTTCGTGCAGCAATAGATAGTGTTTTTGTCAGAGAAACCAATGCACTTTAGTTTCCAAGTTTGTAATTTCAATGGAAAATTAATGTAGTTCTGTTCAGTAATAGATCCAAGGTTCTGCAAAGCAGTTTACATGGTGTTTTGAATTTTTTTCTTTTTTGTAGGTCTTCTAGTTCAACATACTTTCTTTATGAGTTTTCAGTAGATTTATCAGGTAATGATAATACACTTATGATACTTATCCATGGTAAATCTTCAGTTGACTTGTAGTAGGACTGAAGCAAACATTTTCTCGCTTCCTTAGGAGCATTTTTACACAGATGTATCCATTTGAGCACGAAAAATAGTTGCACCAAACTGTTTACAAACAGTCAAACACACAGAAGCATGAAATACTGTATAGGTTTGACGAGATTGGCAGGTCTACTAAAGAATGCCTTGCAGCCGTTCACATGAAAAAAAGCAGTCTGCTGCTCAACCTGCCGGTCTTCGTGGGCATGAGCGTTCTCGACCTCTTGAAGCATCTGATGTACGACTGGTACTACAACCATCTCAAGGTGCAGTAAAGATCGTCAGCAGAGCTCCTCTACACCGACACCGACAGCCTTGTGCTAGAAATCCAGACTGAGGACGTGTACCCCGACATGAGACACAACGCCGGTCAGTACGACACCAGCAACTACCCCAAAGACCATCCGCTGTTCAGCACAGCGAACAAGAAGGTGCTGGGGAAAATGAAGGACGAGTGCGCTGAGGCACCCGTTTCACCAATTCTAAAACGCTTAAAGCGTTAGTTCTAATTTTTAGAAATGCGTTACGAAGCGTCAATAAAATGTATTCCGCGCATTCTACAAGATATGTTACACTAGGTTCCAGTTTCTTTAGATATAATGTGTAGCTCCGTGCAGCTCCGTCATCAGGGTTGTTAGTTTGGCCTTTTTGAGGCCAAATAACTCGATTTTGGCCTTTTTTTTCTTTCTTTGGCCTCGAAATTTTTTTTTGACTATTTGGCTACTTTTTGGCCTCTTTTTACTCAAACAATTTTTTTAAAATTTTTATTGAGCTTTATTTGTAAAAATCTCTTAAATGTACAAAATGCGATGGAAATACAACTAAAAATGATCATAAGGATCAAATTGAGCATTGAATTGTTTTCATCCAATCACAGCTAAGTATAATTCAGCCAATTGTCATGCAATTTAACCAGCTAATCACAAGCAAACACACAGCTTTGTCTTCGTAGACGTCCGACATCTAGCTATAAATAGCACGTTCGACCACTACTAATACTAGTTAAGACTGATAAAAATGTTATTCGTTGCAATATTATGGCATCAAAATGGAAAGGAGCGTATGATAGCGGAAGAAAATATAACAAGTCTTGGGAAAGTAAATTTAGCTGGCTCACAAAAGCTTCAGACGGAAGTGAAGATGCTTTTTGTAAATTGTGCCGTGCCACAATCAGACCCAAACAAGCAAACTTAACCAAACACGAAAAAACTGATAAACACATCAAACACATTAAAGTATCTACTACTACAAGGCCTATCCAAGTCGTACGTGTCCCAAAAGTTGCAGATGAAGTAAAGGTCGTCGAGATCGAGCTAGCTGTTACAATGGCTTGCCATTCGGCAATCTTGACCATGGATCATCTCGGAGGGATAATAGCCCGAAATGCTCATGGAAGCAAACTTGAGAACATTAAAATGCATAGAAACAAATGCTCAAAACTATTGACCAAAGTTATAAGTCCAGCGTTGAAGGAACAACTGATTGCTGATGTCCAGGGTAAGAAGTTTTCGTTAATTGTGGATGAATCTACTGATATTTCCACATCGAAGCAGGTCTGCATTATCGTAAGGTATTTCAGCGAAGTTGAAAATAAGATCGTTACAGCGTTTGTTGACCTGGTTCCTGTTGTCCACACTTCAGGTGCATGGTTGGGAAACACAATTCGCTGTGGACAAGAATAGCTGCTGTCGCTCCTCATTGCATCAAGATGACGTGTATTTGCCATTCGTTGTCCCTTTGTGTTCAGCATGCATTTGAGAAACTTCTGTCGAGTGTAGGATTTCTTCTGGCAGAAATTCCGAAATGGTTTTTAAAGAGCGCTATTAGAAGAGAAGCATACAAGACGCTCTACGAAGTGATGAATCCAGATGATGTGCAAGATGCACCGTTTGAGAAGTACTCAACTACGAGGTGGCTTGTGAGAGGAAAAGTTATATTTCGCATTCTCACAAATTGGTTTGAGCTGCAAGCTTACTTCCGAACAGCACAACCAGAGACGACGCAGGCAGCAAGATTCAAGGCTCGTATTCTTCTGGACATACTCAATGATCCAGTCCTATATCTTTATTTCCATTTCGTTTCTCCTCTGGTCACGGAATTCGACAGGGTGAATGCCTTCTTCCAGGCAACTGATGGTGATCCAGAAGAAATGTTCACGGAACTAAATGTACTCCATAAAAGTTTATATGGTAGAGTTTTCGACCACCAAGGAAAATATCTAGCCATTTATGAAGTTGACTTTGGTGGAAAGTTCTTGTCAGAAGCCAAGAAATACATTTCTTCCCAACAAGACAAACGATGTGCTGAAGCTGAAGTTTCTGAAGTGAAAAATAGGTGTCTAGAATTTCTTGTGGAAGCTGTAAATCAAGTAGAGAAACATTTACCAGCTGTCCGGAATATCTTTAAAGGTTTAAGTGCCCTGCATCCAAGCAAAGTTCTTGATGTAACAACGAGAGCCGATTTTGAGCAACTGCCGCTTCCTAATCTACGAAAGGATCAAGATTATGCAATTGAGGAGCAGTACAGGAAGATCGTCCACCGAAATTGGAAAGAGGAACAAATTTTTAACGGCATCATACCTGATACAGCAGTTGCATTTTGGTCAAAGATAGTTCAGTTCCAAACTTCTCTTGGGGTCAAACCATTCAAGGAATTGGCAACTTACGCCTTAAGCTGCCTGACAAATCCTGTAAGCAATGCAGTGGTTGAAAGAACCTTTTCCTTGGTGACATCAGTGAAGACTAAACAACGCAATAGGATGAGCTTAGAACTGCTAAATGCCATTATTCGTATTCGTTCCAGCCTACACTTTGCCGGGAACTGCTGCATTAACTTTAAGGTAACTAAGCGAATGCTTGAGCTGTTTGCCACTAAACACATGTATGAATGTGAGTAGAATAAACATTATAAGAACTATGCATAAATATTTATATAAATCTGTATATATGGAGAGCAGTAAAAATGACAACTATGCACGTCGAGATCTTATAGAAAGACAGATAAAATAGTTTATTCACTTTGTATTTTGACATGGCCTTTTAAGCTTGTAATGCTTATCAAGAAATTTTTGGACATGTAGTTCATTTTTTCTCTTCATTTCGTCAACAAGCACCTTATATTTTTGCAACAGCCAATAAATTTTCAGTCTTACGTTCTGTATTCACCTCTTCCCATATGTCCTTTGATGTGAACATTAGGCATTGGCATCGCTAGATTTGCAATGTATGGTATATATTTATGATAAATCCATATAGACTATAAGAAGCAATTAGAAAAACTTATTAAAACCGCATGCCATAAACAGTGCGGGCTCAGAAAACAAGTTTGGCCTCTTTTGTTGCTATTTGGCCACTTTTCAAACCATATTTGGCTACAAACGAGCGCTGGAGCCTAACAACCCTGTCCGTCATAGATATAGTAGTCCTACTATATCTATGAGCTCCGTACATTTGGTTCAAAATGGCTACTCGCCCCTCAAAGCGATTCAAATCTTGCAAACTTCGCGTTCGATCTATCTCTACGAGTGGCAAAAAAATCACGAAGAATATTGCTCTGAAAGCTTCAAATCGTATTTCAAATGAATTAAAGTCAACAAATGTCCCTTCTAGTGCGATAGAACGACATAATTTGTATGAGTTTGATGAAGGTGAAGGTTACTGTGATGAAGAGCATGCTTATGCAACAAACTATCAGAACAGACGGGAAAAGGAATTTCAAGGCTGGCAAACCATACGAGAGTCTTTGTTAAACGGAAGAATTGAAGAAGAAGTTTTCTTAACGAAGAAAAATGCTCTGAATGTGGTGTGATTGGGGTAGAATTTCGTAACGAATGCGCACACGAAAAATATTTTTGCAAAGGTTGTGCTGACAGCACTCACAAAACAAGCAACTACTTCCATGTGCTTGAACGGTTTAAGGTATGGATGGAAAAAATAAAGATAAATTCAGTTATGATGACGTTTTGTGGTGTATAAGTTTGGTGATCAAACGTTGATTTCAATTCATGTCATCATGGTCATTGTATCATACATTTGTATGAACTGCTATTGAAACATAGCTTGCATTATGTTTTTAGCATGGGTATACATTACCTTACTTTCCCAATCATGGTATTCTTTCAGCAAGGCATCAGAAATCTTGCCATAGTGCTCAAGCAAGAAATGTCATTTGCATTGACCAATATGGTTTGTTTACTAGCTTAGATATAGTCACTTAATGATTGATACTTTATCAACCTTAGCATTTTGTTGATACATAAGGTCTTTGCATGCTCATTTTTTTAAATCAATATTTTTTCTTTAAATACTAGCTTCATGGTAAATTCTAAATTTTATTGCAAAGCTCATGTTTAATTACCACCTACCCTCTTTCTTTGTGATCTTTGTATGTTTCATTATGATGCTGATGATGATGATAACCAGAACTTGCAGTGTATTTTTCAAATAGGCGGCAACATCAGAAACAAATTCTGTTTTGTGAGTGTGAAAGATTCAATAACGTTAATAAGATTGAAACTTTGGCCTGGCAGTGCTACTCGTCCTCTTTAGCTTTTCATTTTAAGATGATGGAGTTGGCTGAAACCTTACTCTTGAATGTCATGTTTCACTTCAAAATTCTATGATGCTCTAAAAATATGGACAAAGTGCCTCTTTACCATTGTGGGTAAGTATTCATTTCAACTGTGTAAAAGAAATACACGTGTACCTTCATTCTGTTGCCAACAAGGGGTACTGCCCCCCTCCCAATAATTCTCCCACATTGGTCTTTATTTATAGAACTTGAAAAGGTGTGTGATATCAAACAGTGCATTGTAAGTTTAGGGACATTTTAGGAGTGTTTCCCATCTCCCTCCCCCAAAAATCCTGTTTGCACAGCTGCCCATGATATAGATACCCCAGAGCAGTGCAACAGCTTGTTAAAAGTTTGTAACAATTACTAGTTACCTGCCTAAAACATAGAAAAACTTGGTTTTCTTGAACTGTAACCTTAATCTTTCATAGAAAGGCACATTACAAAGATTAAATATTTCACCCTGCTCCTGCTCTTGTTGTGCATGTGTATATTGTTGTAATTGTTTTATTTCATTATAGATTAAGAACATGTATTCAACACTGAACAGCAACTCATTTGATGAGTTTCGGTTTGTAATATAAATTAGTTTCATAAACTATAATTATTGTGTAAACTTAGATTAAAAGTACTGTAGAAAGACTGAGGGATGTGATCTTGAAGTCTCATGATTGCTCTGGTAATAGTGTATGATTGAATTTTTAGTGGTTTCTTTATTTCGCAGGTATCGGCATTTGTTGAGAAATGGTTACCCGCTTGTAAAGCAACATGTTCCAGGAGATATTTGTGCCCTCTTTGTCCCAAAGTACAAAATTTATAATTGTGCATCATTTGCAATTGCTCATAGCTAGCTTTTTATTCTAAAAATTTAATAGACATTTGTTCTATGGAGTTGTACACATTTAGCCATTAAACACAATATTTAAAAACAGTTGTAGGGAAGTTGTTAATGTCTTCAATCTAAAAGCATCATTGTTATTCATTTCATCCATTGATAGCCTGATGAAGCTGGTACTCTGATTGAATCAATGGATGCTTGTTTTGGTCTTGTGAGAAAAAAGACTTCAGGGAAGGCTCAGTTCTTGTCAAGGCATAATTCCATTTTGTTCCACAATCAAGAAGAAGTTGATTCATTTGTTGATAACTACACTTCAAGTGCTGAACAAGCTAAAACTGTAAGTATTGGGAAATGTGGTTGAATTTCAGAAATTGTCTTCCCTCAAGTTTGCTATTTTATGTACTTTTGAATATTACGAAGCCTTTTATTGTTAAGGATTAGTCAGTATAAACCGGAAGAATGTATCCTTCGTGTGTTCGACTGCTTTTACAGTTGGCAATAAGAGTCGCAAAGGCATCAGGTTTGAAAAAATTTTTAAGTTTCCCAGTCAACAAATCAAGCTCTGACTTTGTCAAATCTACATCAGTTACCACCAAATCGCATTCTTCAATCAGCTTGTTACGTATCAAGCACATTGATACTTTGGCTTCTTCAAAAACAACTTTCTTCAACACAGATCGGTAACATTCTCTCTCTTGATCAGAATATTTACGATTCTCTGTCAAAACTTTTTCTACTTGCGGTGATTCGATTATTTTGAAATGAATATTCTGCGCATTTTTCATGTTGGAAATCTGTTTAATACCATACTGACTGGGTTTTTTAAATGTAATACCTTCTGGCAAACCAGTAACAGTAAATCCTCCTTTTAAATAAGGTACTCGGCACATTTTCCCACAAGCTTCACCTTCGAAGAAAATTACAATGATGGGTAATACATAAATGTAGCTAGCAATAATCAATGACAATAACAAAAAGTCCCGCGCATATTTATGGGGGGAGAGATTTTAACACGTACAAAACTATGAGGACAGACACAATAAATGATATTTCCTAAATATGTAAACTGTAATGCACATTGTTCATTTTACTGAAACAGCATTCTTTCCCATGATTTGATTTGATAAGTTTGGAAATGTTTCACAATGGTGCAAACCATTCATGCTGACTTAAAATAACTTGATTGTCAAAAAAGGAATTGTGTATAAAATGGACTAAAAAATATCAACCATGACACAAGCTCAGAAAATGGAAAATCATTTCAAATGCAATTTGCACTTACTGTATTTCTGGTTGAATAGTTTTATCACATCACACACCCGGTACTTTCTGACAACCTGTTTTGGAGAATCTATTTAATAAAAAAAAACATTGATAAAGAAATAACGCCCGTGTAAAATGCATGGAAAAGGAGGAGAGGATTATTCATATATCCAGCTGAGCCCAAGTGATTACTTTTGAAAGCAATTTACTTTCAAAAGAAATCCGAAGGGCACAACTGAATAAACATTCTTGGAGCAGCACTATTGCTTGAGAAATAATGCACTGGTATTCCAAGACCCACAAGTTTCTGAAAATAACTGTGTAGGTAAAGCACTTACCCAAATACTCAACGAAATTGACACCAATTTTTTCATTTTTATTCAAAAAGTTGATTCCTTTTTCTGTTCCAAACTGTTGAAGACAAGAATCACCAGGCTCCAAGAATAAAACAACTGCTTCACAACCAAGACTTTCTAAGTAAGTAAGCTAGCAAAGAGAAATTTAATTGAATTTACACAGCATAAGTTTTCAGCAAATTTTTTCTCTAAGTAAACAAAAAGTATAAAAATCAACACATCTACAATGTGTTAGATTAAACACTTATCATAATTGCTTTGGCCTTATTTTATGATACGTATACTATTATTTTGTGGGGAAATTAGAGCCCCTCGCACACCCTAATCTATCTAAAGCTATGGGGATTGCAAAAATTTCTTACAAAATACTCCCCCTTCACACCCATGACACTGGTCTATCAATGCTAATATTTTTGACAGTAAAATTGCAAACGTTACAAAATGCTAACTTTGTGGATCTGTAACCCAGTAGACTTGGCTAAATTTCAGCATTTATTTGCTACTTCTAACAATTCATAACAACTTTTACAAATTTTTTTGTAGTAGAAGTTTTCTTTAGGTAAATTGTCTTTCCTTTAGAATGGATTGAAATTTACAAACCATCACGTTATGTTTATAGAGATGCTCAACTAAATCTATGCACAAACAATCAAAGTAAAAATCATTCTCTTATATCATAATACTGTACATATGTACAGTGGGTAATAACAGCTGTACTTGTGACAAAAGCTGCTTTTTCCCTTTTTTCACTTGGTTTGTGCGCTGCTTAACTGTCAGGTCATGAATGTCATTGCTTTGAACAGCCTTTGCTCTTTCTGCCCAAATTACACGTTCCTCTGCCCCTAACAAGTTCCAGTGGTCTACAGCTAACTTCAACCTCTCAGAATTAGAGCTCAGCTGCTTGCATTCCTCTAAAATTACAAAATGCATATTTACAAAAGGCATATAACAACAGAAAGAAACAAAGTACTTTTTGGTTTAAATGACGACTGCACAGGTTTTGTCTTAGCACTTTGGTGGAATAAAGATGATACATATTGTACAGGCCATAAAAAACATACAGTTTATAGATCAGAACCTGAGTTCAGCATATGCGAGCAAAAAAGATTATATGCTGTAGTTCTACGCTTTGAAGGGCACAGTCTTAACTCCTCATCTTGATGAGAGCTGGCTTTTCTTTTTCTGGACTGCTTTTCATTCCCAATCCATTTCTAGAAGAAATAAAAATAAAAACTTTTTCTTTTTCTTGTAGCTAACCTGGTTAACCAAGGTTATTTACTACATGGTGTATGAACAAATAGTACTAACATGAAGCCTTCAAGTTATTTGAAGAATAGGATATGCTAACTTAGTCTAAACACCAAAAATTATTATGTTAAAAAATATAAATGCTTCTTTGCAAACCAAACAATCAAACAATTTCATTAGAAAATTCTGCAATAAGCATGAGCTTATTTCACCAGTAACAGAATTCATTAAGTATGTAACTACGAACAACCATCTATATGAAACTTCTTTCTCAAATTATTCGTAAATTAGGAGAGCCAAAAAAGTAAAAAATGTGACTTATTCCTGAACAAGATAAAAATTTTTAGGGACTATTAACCTAATTAATAAGAAAATTAGTTAAGGTATATTAATTTAGGTTTTGCCTTGATCACCTTCAATGGTATGCACCCAATGCAATTAAACCTTCAAAGCAATCATATACATTATAATGGGGTGACTAGCAGAGAGTAGAAATTTGAAAAACATCTCTAGCATTTACAATTTAAGGTAGATTCAACATTATTGAGTCTCCACAAACTGCAACGATTCTGTCATTTGCAAACTTTCAAAAACATGCAATGAATACAGCATAGTCTGCTCAGTTATTTATTCATGCAATGTAAAATTTCACTTGCTGTGAAAACCATGGATTTCTAAAAAACAATTAATTAATGGTAATATTCTCAAATTTACCTACATTTCAGGATTATTATTTGCAAAATGATAAGGTCCCTGTTTGTTATAGCATGAATCCCAAGCAAGTCTTTCATGGAAAAGGGAAACACCAGTGGGCATTAAAAATGTATTATAGAGAAAATGCGCTTTTAATAATTTAATTTTTGGAAAACCATTGTTGAGGGAAAATCGAGGGAAAACCATAGGTTTTCTGATTATAAGATTTGTGATAATGTTACAGAATGCCTGCCCTTAAGTTTTAACAAACTCAGAATACTACGAAAAATTTGTGATCAACAGTCTTGAAGGCATACTCAAAAATAGAAAAATTACCAAGTTTTCCCACCCCTTTTTAAGATGTACTACCTGTGGCACCTCTATACTATGATATGAATATTATGAAATGAGTATATGTATGTAAATACTATAATCTTATTACTTTTATAAAGTAGAAATTGCATTATTGAAGAAAACTACAGTTCGATTTAATGCAAAAAGATATAGTAACCAGTGGTACATACATATTACATCTGACAACAGAGAAAGATAAAAAGCTCGAGAGGGTTGAATACAAATAAAAACAAGCTTGTTTTTTATAGTACATAGTAAAAACAAGTGTGAGTATAAAAATATAATAATTATACGTTTAATAGGCCAAGTTAAAATTTTAACAGTAGAATAAATTTTACAAACATCGTCAGCAAAAGTTGCAATTTTCAATTGTCAAGCAATACTAAATATAAACACACTGGTATTGTGGTACAGTCAAAAAATAAACCATGCTCTCCCCAATAAAGGGAAAATCCTAAGTATATCTGTTTATATATCTCTGACATCTTGTAAACTGTCTATTATATAAGTTAAGGGTATAATTAGAAGATATAAAATGCACACTATATTTAATGTCAGTTACAGCAACAATAACTAAGCCCATCAGATCAAAAAATACTGGCGAAGATCACTCGTTGCTAATGAAAAAGAAAGCGCGGGTAAAAAATATAAACTCGTGCATTCTGTTTACCTTGACTCTTTCAAACGTGATATTAGCTTGGTTCGCAGCTTCTTGGATGACATCCCTCATACTAGCTGCTGTTGAAATCATTCCTCGATCATAATAATCCTTCAAGATCTTTTTTTGTTCGTCATTTAAAATATCATAAGAAGCTGAACGTCGAACGTTTTCCGCCATAGCCAGATCACAGAACAGGAAAATAAAGATGACTAAATAAAGTATTTCAAAAATTCGTGAATCCCATCTTGTAGAATGCGCGGAATACATTTTATTGACGCTTCGTAACGCATTTCTAAAAATTAGAACTAACGCTTTAAGCGTTTTAGAATTGGTGAAACGGGTGGCTGAGGGTCGGCACTAGATCATGGTCAACTAACGTACGCGCCCACATATTATTCTTATTATGTCAGCGGTAAGTAACAATTGACGAATATTCATGTATATGTAATTACCATTGGTAATTACCTATAAGCTGTGATAAACCACTAAAATATAGAATAACCATTGAGAATAACAAGTTTCATATGCGTATTTAACCGATATGCGGCTAAATGACGAGAAGAATTCTTTTTTCGATTTCAGGTTTGGACAGTTTTACTTTTTTACACATTTATTGTTTTGTATTCTTTGTATTTTACATATATTGTCATATGCTCAACGATTTTAAATCATCATAACGATACTCGATGAAGCAATGAACAATATACAATGAACGTAACACAGTATTAGTTATATGTCCCAAGTTTGTTGTAAAAATAAATACCATGTCCATGATTCACAAATAGACAATGTTAATTTTGTCTAATACTATTTACAGATATATACATACATGATTTGTCAAGGGGCTCCAATTTGAGCAATTACAGTGTAGATGTTTGCAAGCACAAGTGAAGCGATACATGATTATTTTTATGTTAGATGCTTACAATTACTATATTTTCACAGAATATAAATTTTTGAATGGCAGGTTTGCATTGCATTCTCAATGTGGGGAAACATCTCGATTTTTTGTTCTTTAAAGCATTTGACAGGATGCACTCGCATCTTCTCCTGCAGCCAGGTAACAGAGCAAGGGTTCACACCATTAGCCAAAGCAACAGCATTTGCCACAGCAAAAAGACCACAATCTGATGATCCTTTTTGATGTTGTTGGAGAATCACTTTTACGTTTAAAGAACCATCCTGTTCTTGGAGGTTTTTGTAAACATTCTGGAGTTGCCTTTTTAATGATTAATTCAGGTTGATACTCATAGATTCAAAGACTACTATTTCACAAGTTATGGATGTAGAAACCACCCAGTGGTGACCAATATTGTGACATTGAATTGCTAGGGTAATACTTTCAAATGAACCTTTCTCAGCGAGTATTTCGTCTGTAGTCTTGTCTATTAAACACTTACATCAGTTCATTCATGTCATCATTAAATATTTGGTTCATACATGTCATCATTAAATAGTTGGTTCATACATGTCATCATTAAATATTTGGTTCATACATGTTATCATTAAATTTTTGTTTCATACATGTCATCATTAAATAGTTGGTTCATACATGTCATCATTAAATAGTTGGTTCATACATGTCATCATTAGGTACTTGGTTCATACATGTCATCATTAAGTGTTTGGTTCATACATGTCATCATTAAGTATTCGGTTGATACATGTTATCATGCTTTAATATTTAAAATTTAAACAAAAGTTCTGCTTTAATATGTATATGAAATTTTGTGAAATTTCTTTCACCACTGCACAATAACCAAAAAGTAGTATATCTCTGGACAAGCGTATGCTTTCTGCATTGAAGTTATTATATAATATATACCTATCAATTTATTTCTGTTTAGACAGCGCCACCCACTGCGAGTTCGTTTTTTATAATCACCGAATATTTCCAGCATTTCTTCTTTGGAATTGCATATTACAATACCTTGGTCTAAACTGCTGTTGTTTTTTGCTTCATTCGCGCATACTTCATTGGAAACTCCATTTTCGAACTAGCATTTGGCAACAATTCCATGATGACTTCCCGTGCTTTTTATGTTTAAATTCTCATAGAATATATGTATGGCAAGTTGCAATTTTACAATGTAGGAAAATATGAATTTTTTGTTGCTCGAAAAACATTTAGCCAAATGCCATTGTATCTTCTCATATGACCATAAAATCAAGAAATGGTGCATTCAATGCTGTTAGGGAGGTGGTTGCATGAAAATCAAGCATTCTTCATGAAATTATGGATGGTCATTGCAGAGCACAGAGCACCCCAACTTGACAAAGATTTTTAGTTTACAAAATTGATAAAGAAACTTGTTCATGTTAAGTGGTAATATTATTTCCAAACACTATGACATCATGCAATGACTTTTTACAATTACATTTCACTATCTGAGAGAGTTGCATCTACGGCAAGTTATGTTCTAAAGCACTGGGTCTATGCCACAAGCATAACAAAATCAGGCGGGAGCCTTTAAACTGTTCGAAAAATCCTTTGACAATGGAAGGAATTATATGCTCAAAGGTTTTTCTGAACAATGTGTTTTTCCATAATAGAATTTATTTTGGTGCACAGAGATTCAATGTGAAAATTTTTGCCAGAGATGAATGTAGAGAATACCCAGTGTTACATGTTAAGATATATTGTTACCATTTCTTGTTTTAAAGTATTTACAGGAACATATATGAATTAGCTACTGTGATTGATATCACAACTCAACATTCATTCTGGCTGCACCTGTACTATGATTACCTATCAATGTTTCGTGATAAATCAATATGCTCAATTGAAAACTATCCATTTCATTTAATGAGCACTTAAGTTAGACTGTGGTTCACTGTGTGGATGGCACTGCTGGAAACAATGAGTTTTCAAAATTTCCTGACAATAACTTTAACAAAGTTAAAAAAGTTGCCACACCTGTGCATTAACTCAAATCAGAAAATTACAAGCAAGTATGGACAAACAGTCAAACACATTAAACACACAAACTTTATATTATTATGCAGGAAGTTTGGAAAAAAATTTGAAGATACGAATCTAGATGGGTGTGTTTATCATGTATGTTGTATCTATAATAATTTTTATTAGTACTACAAATAACACGAAAATACTCAATATCATATCTATAATACAAATAGAGTCCATTTCTACTTTATAACATTACATTGTTCTCCTTAAGTCCAGTGAATTTGCAATTTTTGAAGTGCGGTTATTATATTGTAAAGTACTATCAATCCATTACTTTTGCAAGGCAGACATTTCAAAGAAAGTACATCTGATCAAAATTGAATTGAAATCTTTGTAATCTTTTCTCGCTTTCTCTATTGCCAATTTGACTTATTGCCATATGGAAACGCAATATGTAGTGCGGTAAAATCATTCGTATAATGAATACAAGAATATTCGTCAATTGTTACTTACCGCTGACATAATTAGAATAATTTGTGGGCGCGTACGTTAGTTGACCATGATCTAGTGCCGACCGTGGCTGAGGCACCTATCGCTGAGTTTGTGGGGCTCAGGCCCAAGATGTACTCTATCCTGAAAGCCGATGGTTTGGAGTAGCACAAAGCCAAAGGTGTTAAAAAGCCGTCGTGAAAAATCTTATCAGTCATGACCAGTACAAAAAGGCGCTCTTCGAAGCAAAGCGCTTACGCCACGGTATGGATATGCTGCGCATGGGATCTCTACCCTAGCATACGGGCATAGGGAAGCCGGTGCGCAGGTGAAGAAATAATAAATGCGTAATTGTGCTAGCATAATTAGTTCTGTTAGATAATTACAGTAGAAGAGCTTCTCCACGGCTAAGCGCAAGGTAGTACCTGGTATTGAAAGCTTTCATATAAAGCGTGACAGGACCCCATCTACTAAGCCGGCGGTGTTTCGGTCCCAAAGGGCACCACTTAGAGCTCCTCGCGCAAAAACGCGCGCTTGTGCCCATCGCTCAAATATTACAACACAGGCTTCCGGCCCTCAACCACAGCCCGATCGACCTGGTTGGAGGTCACACTCCAGATAGGATCGGTCGCCCTACGCCGTTCGCCACCCTCGAGTCCGCCAGGGGCATACAAATACCGCACCATAACATCCGATAACAAGCGTCGCTCTTTGAAACCAACTGGACGAAGAGTCGGCGCAGCGGGTTTGGCCTTAACGCTCTTCTTCCGAATCGCAAGGGAGGGCTTATTGCCCGTCAGACGGGTAGTTTCATTATTGAGCGCTTTAACCACCTCAGGTAATCTTGATACCCATACTTTGTTCCGAGTTCCAGACTCAGCCAGCTCGCGATGATACTGGTAACTGAAAAATCACTCCGCCAAAGTTTGGTTAAATCTTTCTACGATCCCCTGATCTCTATGAACTCCGACCCTACCCCGTCGAATCGTAACACCATTTTTATCACACGCTTTTTGCACAGTCCCGCGGACCTCCGAGCCAGCGTCGACTTGTAAAAGTTTAGGCCATCGAAGAGGCCCACAGGCAAAAATAGACTCTAACGCCTTTCCAACCTGGGTCGCTGTCTTGTCTGTGATTGCTTGGGCCTCCTTATACCGACTTGCTACGTCGACGACCGTCAATGCGCATTTCAATGTGCGTCTTACGACTCGATCGCGATGTAGATACAAGAGATCGTCCTAGTGGACCTCATTCGGGGTGCTGATTTCAAACTTAGGTTGGGGGATAGCACTTCGCGCTGGTGCGGGTAAGTAGATCTGCCAGATGGCCTGTTTTGTTAGCCATTCATGAGCCTCATCCTCGCCGACGCCAGCCTCTTTAGCCAGCTTTGGGATAGCAGCACGGCCGCGCCAGTACCCAGCAGGACTGTAGTACGCCTCTGCGAGGCGCTCCTCAACGCTTCCGTCCGTAGAAACGAATATTTTTCCTCCGTTACGACGAGATTCGCTTTGGGAAAGAAACCTAGAAACAGCACTACCACATACACCACAGCACCCTGCATATCTGGGGTTGCCGTTATGATTTACAACTATACCACTTATAACTGGTTGAAGTCTTTCGCAACGCATACAAAACGCGACCGTCATTTTCACTTGACTATGTATTATTAGTTTGATGTGTTGTGTTTGATGTGTTATGTTCACCAAGCTTTTCTGATTTTATCAATTTTTTTCGCGGCTTTCATTGCCAAATACCGAATGGAAGCGCACTGTTCAAACCTCTTATTCTCCCTCCTTTTTTATCTAGAAGTTCACTTTTAGAAAGAAACTTGGAGACGCCTCTGTCACAGACTCGGCAGCGCCCCGTGAACCTAGGTTGGATTTTTGTATTTTCCATTTTTCCTTTGACAACAAATTATTGTTTCTTACAGTACAAACAGTAAGCGATGGCCATCTCTATATAATGCACAAAATTTAGTCTGATGTGAAAAAT